GCCTCCCTCCAGAACCCATTTGTAGGGGTACAGTTGGGAATACTTCACAAACACACTGTCAAAATCAACTAGTATTCCCAGCTGTAGACTGTATCACAATCCTAACCGTCTGATTCCTGCTCTAACACCTCTCCAAGCATCGGTCCTGGGGGTAACGATTTCAATACATTGCCAAGAGTAAACACGACTCCCTGCTGTCTACCTCGTGTTATAAAAATGTTCAGTTCACACTAACACAATAAATGACACATCAAACAAAACCTTTTCATAGGGCGTTTCCTGTGCTACCAACAAGTTCCAGCTTCTATCCTGTCTAATCCAAAAAAGCTGACTCCCAGCCCTCAACCACAAGCGCAAACTCCAAACCTTGCTGACTGAGCGAACATTTCTTCCCTGCAATGTGTCGCTTTCATGGTACTGTCCAGTGTGCACTGTACAGCACTGTCCTCCCTTCTGTAAAAAATAATTTTCACACTATCTGCGTTTTGCTGCTGAAAGAAAATGAATGCCTGCACACATTTCTGCAAGTTTTTAAAAGGTTTCATACACTAATAACAACGTACTATTTATATCCTAAACGCATGCAGAATAACGGATTAGTTTTCCAATGTTAAAGGTATTTCCACGTAGAGTTAAGATTTCTATATTGATGTCCTTCTCTCCCGTGCGCTGTGCTTTGTAGTATAGTATCGCTAGTGGGTAGACTGCCCGGGTATTACTACCGGTGTGTCTTGGCCTGGATGCCACATGCCGAGATTAACGGAGTAACTAACGTCAAAAACCAGGTCAAAGAATTTGGCGCAACAGCAAACGTAGTTAACTTAAGCGTCATCCTTTTCATATTTACCAAAGGATCTTTATGCAATGTTACCACTACTGAAACACATGGTAAGCTGAGCATTTTTAAAATAAAATAATTCTGAAAGTGCTAATAATTAATTGTGCAATGCAACACAAACATTTGATAGATTAACCAACAGCAAATGCCCGCCACGTTCAGGGATGAATTCAAAACTCAATACCACCGCAAAAAAACTTGTCTTGAGTTTCCGCAACTACAGTAAAACATTTAAGACTGAAGATGTTAAGAGAAAACCTGCTTTATTCTCATCGTTACCCTTAGTCATCACAGTGTCGATCCCGAGTTAATTTTTAAGAATGTTAACCTTTGTTGCTCCCTAAAATCGCCGTAAAAATAGCTAACCCATTTTTGCTCCGAGACATGTTTCAACACATTCCTCACCTTCTGAGAGCTCGCAAAGTGCGCCGATCTAATCCTCAACTTTTTTTTTGATCCCGTAGAAATTAAACAGCAGACTATCAGCACAGACGTGAAACTAGAAAGCGCAAAGTCCACTTTAACGCCGTCGTTTCTGCATTATGGAAATGTTTCAGGGGGAGAAAATTACCTGCTAAAAACCATGTATCGCCCGGCTGAAAAGTTTCTTTACGCTTATCTCCATATGAATCCCCAGAAGGATCCTGGATCCTTGAGCTCCTCCCTCACAAGCTAGTACCATGAGGTCATGGAGAAGGGAGCGCACAAACAGAGCTACACACTTTCCGTAACCAGGCAATCCAGTCCTACTTTATCGCCATGGTGCTTTCTCGCTTTGCATGCGGTATCAGGGGGATAAAGCTAAAGGAGACGGGGATGCTTATTGAAATATCTCAGGAGCATGGAGTTTCTTTTCCGATAACTTTGTAGTCAACCAGCAACGCTCTCAGCGCCTCCCAGTCATCACTGTCATTGGCTCAGTTTATTTTTTAATGCAAATATGAGTCAACTAGGCACAATGGAGGCGGTGTGTCGTGATTTAATTCGATAAAAACAGCAAAGACGTGATGTTAAAACCAGACCAAACACACACGGCGGTGTTATCTGAAATGAGTGGTTTAAAAAGATCCAAGAGGGCCTTGAACTACACTGATCTGCGGGATTTAACACAGCTGTGCGATATTAATAATTTAAAGTGCATAAACATTTTTTAAACTTTGGTCGCTGTTTAGTGTTGAGTCATTTTTTTTACTTAATAATTCTGGAAGTTGTATGAAAATCTTTCATTGATGTCAATTTTTGTTTTTCTTTTACCATATAAATCACTGTTACAGAGCTTTTGACATTTTTTAAAACAGTATTTTTCTTTCTTTCACTTTTAAAATACAACCTTAAAGAATCAAAAGGCCGGTGTAGTTTTCGGTGCTCGGTGTGCTCTGAGGATTTTTTCATATAGTTTTCGTCTGTCGTGGTGTGTAATGGGAAGCTTTGATAAAGAGATAATTAAAATCAGTTTTTTATGAGATACAATTTTATATGGATTGCCATGTTGTTAACAGAACGTTTATCTCTTTTATGTGGGGTGGTATTTCTTATCAACATCATTACATTTTGAATCTCCAAATAAAGACTATAAACTCGATCATCGTCAGACACCGTACAATTGCAAAGTTATTCTTAAATATAGTACATGCGTTTTTATTGCTGTACATCGGTATAAAATAGTCTGTATAGCGACATCAAGAGGACGGGAGAAAACTTCAACTTTCTAAAGTAATCCTGCCTGTTTATAAAACTCTTTCCTTGAGGGATTTTTAAATGCATTGTAATTTAAAGTTCTAATACAAATATTGTCCATTGTTGTGGATATGGTCCATTTTCCCTACTTTGTGACTGCACTAGTTGTTGTTTTTTCTCCCTGACTGAAGTATTTTTAGATACTTATGTTTTCTTTTCAGTTACCAGGCATTTGAAAAACAGACACTAATTGTCGCATTTCTTGGGAACCGGCATGGCCTAAAGACGAAGGGTCTGGGAGAAATGTTCCCTAGAGAGTAGGGGCGAGTCAACAAACATTGCTTAAATGGCTAGAAACCGAAAAGACCACCAACTGCTAACAGAAGAAGATGTACAGAGGACCGGATGTGTTTGACAACCACAGATGGTGTCTACAGAGCTTGTGATTTTTCAACCATAGTTTAGGCCTCAGATTTCACCCTTAGCCCTGTTACCTTTCTAGATGCCTGGGGGGGGGTTTGCTGGACGTTTTAAAATCACAGTGTCAGTATGGTATGGCCTTGCATCAGCGCTCACCATCAAAGCCACACACTTATTGGGTATACACCCAAGTGAGGCAGCAGTGTTTATACAGATCCTTTTCGGGGCTACAAGCAAAGACACTGCAGCTGCCACTCGTGAGTGATGAGTTAAAGGGTGCTGACCTACGGAATTCCAGCAAGGAAGAAGATGCTTTGTATGGATATCAGACGCAAGTGAAGAGACAACCCCGTTTGGAAAGAACACCTGTTTATTCACACATTACCCTTACAATATTGTGGTGCCCTCTGCACTTTGCTTGGACATTTGATAGACCCAAACCCCATTGAGGATGTGAGGGCTATCCTTGACTAATCTATGGAAAGGTATCCCCCCCAAAAAATAACACTATCCAGCGCTCTCTAATACAATAATCAGTTGCAGACCATCTGCACAATGTGCAAATTAATTGTCTTGTATGAAGCAATTCATAATAGGAATACTATGCATTTGGACAATACTTCTCATCCCAAAGGATACTGTAGTGATTTATCTATAGAAGGGAACTCACTGAAGTGCAGAACCCACTTGTGTGATACGCAGCAGCCATAATGAACAAGCAGGCACACTACAAAGCAGATCAGGTACAGATGTGAGAAACTGATTCACCAATTGAATTATGGTGGAACTTTACTGGCAAGACTGTGCAAGCCCAGAGTGGAATTTTGGCAGGACACACTGATTAACATCCATACTCTTACATAAAAGTGCCACATGATCATTATTGACTAAGGAAGGTAGTAAGGGCTTTGTTTAAATGTTTCATCCAAAGGGCAACACCTCATACAGCATATACTGTATAGCAAGCAGCTATATCACCTTGCAACTCACAACTGGCAATCCACTGAAGCTAACAAGGTGTGAGCCTGGCCTGTTCCGGGATGAGAAAGCTAAGGTTGCTGCTGGAAGAGGTGTTAATGGGACCAGTAGACCAGTATGAGTCGCTATTCCTGCTGTCTGTGTGGATTCTAATGTCCCAATATAGCTTGATGGGGAAACTATATTGTTAAAAAGGTGCAGAACTTTGGATGACACATAAAACCAAGGTCCTGACTCTCTGCGGTCATTAAAAAATCCCAGTGCATTTTTTTAAAAAAAGTAGGGGTGTTACCTCGCTGACCTGGCCAAATTTCCCCCTGGCCTTTACCCATCATGGCCTCCTAATAATCCCCATCTATGAATTGGCTTCATTACTCTGTTTTCCTCCTCACTGATAGCTGATCTGTGGTGAGCATAAAGGCGCACTATGGTTGCCTTAGCTTCATCCAGGTGGGGCTACACAATGGTGGTGGTGAAGGAGAGTCTTCATTACCTGTAAAGCACTTTTAGTGGAGTGTCCAGAAAGTGCTATATAAATGTAAGGAATTATTAATTAATTATTACAGTGTTTCCCCTCTGCATCCTGGTGTGCTGGTTTGGAAATTGTGGTGCAGAGGAAAGAGCACCACCTACTAGTCCAGATGAAGGGTTACAGTAGCAACCTGGTTTTCAATAGAGGTCTCCTATCCTAGTGTTGAACAGCCAAGGCTAGCTACCGAGATAAGAACAGAAATAATCAAGTTTGCTTTCCAAAAACATAGGCTCCAGACAAGTATCTGGAGAATCTATAAAAATGTAAAAATGAATATCTATATTTTCATTCCAAATCTTTTTTCAGAATTACATCAGTCATCTCTCTCTGTGTCAGCACCTTCTTCTTGGAATATTTTCAGCAACACTCATTTCTGCTTACTATATTTCCATGTTGGTACTGACACTACGACTCTACCATTCGTAGGAGGCAGAGTCTCAGATGGCTATTTCTGTAGTTAAATGTTTTGTTATCAAACAAATCAGGAATGTAAGGCATTTGGGGGAGATTCAAAACAAAAGAGAGACTTCATCTCCCTTAACAAAGGCCTCTTACCATTATTCTGAAGAGTTGCTGGGATTATTAAGTATGGTTATACTCTGCAAAACACAAGAAAATAGGAATGTGTTAGTTTCAAAAGGGTTGGTATTGTGCATTTACAAAGTATCGGCAATTGTATGTTTAGCTGTAATTTCAAATAAGACAAAATAGCAAAAGCCACAGCTGAGCAGGTTTCTTATTGTAGTTTTGCAATTGTACATTTCTTCCTGTTACTCAGGTTGAGGGGTTTATTTTATTCTAATTTATTACAGAAATCAGTCAGCTGGCCCATTGATTTTCAACCTCATATTTTCTGCTTTTCATATGCCAACAGTTTTGTCCTACCATAGCAGGCATAGCAGCAATTCCAAAACACACAGCAAGGGGGTTTGGGGAAGCTGGTTGTGAACAAGGTGGCAACTATGTGGAAAAAAAAGGTGTGGCAGCCCTCGAGTGGCTCAGGCATGAAGGGCGTTCAGCTGGACTGCAGGTTGAGCAGGATGAACACTGTCATTGACCATCTGTGATCAGGATTCCCCAAGCACTGGTGCACAGCTGATCCAGCATCAGAGCTTGGGTGGGCTGGAGATAGCTCTTGATGCACACCAACAGCCCCCGTGACTTGTCTGGAGCCTACAGTATGTCTCAGCTTGTCATAGTGTTGATGCCAGCTGCATTGCTTCTCCTGTTGATGTGAATTCTGCTGTGGGCACAGAGGAGCACACAGTTTGGAAAGTGGCAGGTATCTCCGCCAGGCAACTTTTCAGATGGAGGCATGTATCCCTCCCTTGCTCATATGAGCATAGTTAATGCCAAGTTTATTAGCAATGGGCAGTTTTAATTTAGGCAAAACAGAAAAAACATTGGTGATTTCACATCTGTTTCAAAATAATTCAATTACCATAAGATATTGCACATAAACGTTCTATGAGTTTTTAAAAACAAATGGCAGATTTTATATTTTGTTGGTTGTTTTGTTAAAATTTAATTAAAATGTCTAAGAAAGCAAATTTAAGGCATACATCTTAGCCCTTCATTTCTGAAATGCTCTTTAAAAGTGAACACATCAATACATGCTGAGCTGGCCTAAAATCACCAATAGCTGTTATATTAATAAGACACCTGGATCTTTATTTTAATCCCACTTATGTCAGCACAAGCCCCGTATATCCAGTAAGCGTGTGCCTGCATTACTCAAATCAATGCGGAACCGTTGATATTTTCATTATTCAGATACAGGTAACCAAGTAAACTCCCCATATATAATGAATGCCTGCAGAGAGATGTAAAACAGAAACATCCAACAATCCTTTATCTTTTGTTTTGCCTTCCATCTGCTATAAAAAATAGTTGGCGGAGTATCAGAGAGCTACTCTAGGCTACATAACATATAACCTCAGAAAGTGCTTAAGGACATTATGACCTATCTCTGTGCTAAAGGCCTTTTTCTTGGCACTGACATCAGATTACTCAATCATTAATAAAGAAAACAAAGATCCATACATGAAACAGAATCTGAAAGAAAAAAAACTGAAACCCGACCCTTTAACAAAACTTTCTATATGATAAGTTTCATCTTGTGGACCAGCTCGCTCAGGTCCTGTGCTTCCAAATAGAAGTCTTCATTGTAAGTGCTTTCACAGTCCTCCAGTGCACTGTTCAAAGCTCATACTCTTACTGCAGTGTTCACCATTGCACATTTGTCTTAAAAAGATCACAAGATTCATGTTTTTTTGGTTCTTGGCAACATACTTTTCTTTTTATTTGAAATGTATACTGGTTTCTATTCTAGAAGATTTTCTTTAAGGTTTTTGTTTCACCCCCTAGATGAAAACACAAGGAAATCAATATTTCATTCCTTCATGTTTTATTTTTTGCTACTCTGTAATTCTCTGTCTTTTTTTATGAACAAAAAATACCTCTTTTCTAGATACTTACAGTGGCAGAGTAATCTGATTTACACTTTTAAACCAGCTTTTGGTAACAGGCAGTGTCTTACAAGAGACTGAAAACTGTGTTTTTTTCCTCATTTGTTCTCCATAAGTACAACACGGTGACTGGATTAACGTCTGTGTTAAGACAGCGTCTTCTCTGCACTAGATGTAATTGAGTTACATCAGCCTTTGGTTTTATTTTTGCGCAACAGTTCTCGTATATTTTGCATTGTAGAAAAAGGCTCTTATTAAACATTTTAAAACTTTTTAAATGTTCTGAATACAATAATTCTATGTAGTATGTAAGAACACTAAGGTAACTTGGTAGGCAAAACACAGTCTCTCCAGCTGTACAGCTTTCCTAGTAACAGGACACACTGGACTGCCATCATACTTCATCATTATATAAAAGGAGAGATGGTTGCTAGACTACCAGTACAAAGATAGTAATTAAACTAAAGATCACAGTGAATAAAAACAAATAACTGTTCTCCCATAGCATTTCCAGGCATGTTGTTTCCAAACATTTAATTCTCAAAGCTGTACTTAATATAAGATAGTGAAGGTGAAAGATTGTGCTCCCTCACCTCATTGCATTGTGATCTTACATTTTCTCCTACTCCTTCTGTACATCATGTGTTGTTTCCACACTTCTAAACTGTAATAAGTGCTGTATGTGTACACTATGCACTTCGTAAGGCAGTTTTTTAGAAACTGTAGCCGCTCCTTCTCTGTACCTTTCCTGCATAGCAGGGAGCCTCTGTCTAGTGGAAAAACAGATTAGTCGTCTGCTGTCAGGGTGGTAGGCTGCTGTCCACAATCTACAACGATAAGCTTGGTCTCATGTCTGCATAGATAACGGTTCAAGAGAAGAGACACCAATGTTAAAAAACATCTCATAAGCCATTGAATCCTTCATATGATATAGATTATCGTTTGACTGATTTCTTTTTTCAACTTGAAAAATGCATGATTGGCCGAGGATACATTTTTGGCTTTTATCCTTCACTTCCTCTGGGAAGATAACCTTTGTAGTTTGAACTCTGTATTACACATTTCTTTTATTTTTAGACTACATTTCATGGACATATGAATTGAGTTTGTAATCAGCGCTGCACAGACAACTGATATTTCAGTCAAGACAGAAGCAAGGAATATATAAGGGGCCACACCTAAGGAAACAGCACTGTTTAATCACCAGAGGGAATGAAAGACCACTCTGTGGATATTGTGTTTGTCATACAGTGTGCTGGACATTCTCAAAAGATACAGCAACACACTAACAGAATTCAGCTCAGAATTTGAAAAAAACAACAACAAACATACACTTTGAAGTAGCACTTGAAAAAGTGTTATTTTAAAATTGTATAGTGTATTGTATGTAGGTCAGTACAGCTCTTGCATGTTTGATATTGATATTGATTATCCTCTGATTGACAGCACTGGGTAAGAGAAACATTTGGAATAACGCACCTTGTCTTAAAAAGCTGCTGTTTCACATTTCAGACTCGTGGACTCAATGTAAACTATTAGGGTTTTAAAAATTAAATATCTGTTTACAAAATCTACATAAATGTACAAATCTGGCAGTCCCTTCGTGACTGAGGCAAATCTCTTGCTGAAATCTGTGGGCCACTGTGAAGACCATACTGTGCAGAAGGCTTGTGTGATCAGCAGTATTAAGCAGTAGTTTATTAATAATTAAACTATTCTGAGACAGATTCAATTTCACCCCCTTCTTAATTCTTACCAAAACGTATTTTGACCAAATCACCACATTCTGCAAACTGGTATAGACCAGGACAATTGTAACCACTGTAGATCTGCTAATGAAAAGAAGAATCACAGACCTTTTAAGGTAAAAAAATTAACTTAAAAAATGCCACATGAACTGTCAAGGAGGGTAACTGTCAATCATATCTAATCGTAGCAAAACTCTTTTCCTGGAATGTAAAAAATGTAAGACCCCCTCAAGCATACCTTTACAGTGACTTATGTTCTCTTTCTCAAAATAGAGCAGCTTACAAAGGATCAACTCCTTGTTGGTTATTCTGTAAGGTGTAGAACATGGGCATAACCTGACTCCTTTTTAGAAGTGCTTTAGAATATCCTAACATTTCAGTTTGATTGTATTAGTATCTTTTGGATTTTTTATCAGGTCTCCTCATAAATCAGCTCAAGATTAAAAATGCAGTTCCTTCATCCTGCTAGTACAGGACATTCCCTTAAGCCCCGAGAATGCTCTTAAAACTCTGGTTGCTCTGATGCTCTGGACTGATTCCAGTGCAGCAATATTTCTTCTATACTATGGTAACCAAAAATGTGCCACAGTATTTTAAAATAGGGCATTTAACCATCAATTTGTTTGCCTAGAAGATGTAAATTACATGTCAACATAAACACCTAAGTCTTTTCAATATTACCTCTTCTAGCTCAGTGCCCATTTTGTATAGTTTTTGCTACTTGCATGCAATACCCTGCACTTGTCTACATTAAACATCATCAGCCAGGTGTTTATTCAGTTTGAATTTTAATTAAACCCTTTTGAATTTTGTTTGCTTCTTCTGTAGTGTTTTATTAATCCTGCTAATTTGGAATAATCTACTGACGTGACTAGTTTACCAACTATATCGGAATCTAGATCATTGTTATAAATTAAAGGTAAATTATACCACCTCAATCTGATTTGTCACCCCTTATTAGTTCAGATATACATTTAATTACCAGTTCTCAATACCTCCGTGAAGTTGCCCCCCCCTACAGACAGCACAAACGATTAAACGCACCTCATTCGTTAGTGCTGCGTTTGTGCCGGTTTGTGCCGTTGAAAGTAGCGTTTGTGCTGCTTTCGTTTCCGAGATATAGATATAGATATATCCTTGTTTTTTCGGGGGTCGTGACGTCACGCAACCCCCCTACAATGTCTTAGGGAAACCAAACCGGTCTCAATCGTTAGTGCTGCGTTTGTGCCGTTGAACGTAACTTCCTAGCTTCACAGAGCATGTATCGAGCTTCCCAGTGCACGTGTTTGCTTGTAGCAGCTCTATACATGCTCGACCTGTAGGAGTTGAGCACGAAGAGGTTCTAAAAATTCTCCTGTTACAAATTACAAGTTTTGGAATGCACGAATAACAGTAAGATAATATTGACGGATAGATGCGAGTGTGCATTTTACAGATAACTATTCAGATCGCCTCTAAATGACCTGCAGTATGTTTAAGTGAACGACGTTTAGAGGGCTAAAATGCATTCAAAGTACGTATTTGACGCTTTTATTAGCAGACCATTCTTGCAATTAAAGATACGATTATTTGGTTAGCACTGTAATGCGACTATAACAATTCAGTGTCAAGTCTTGTGTGAAGTCCCGAATTTCCAAATTACGTGTCTTTTGGCATCGAAAATAGAATACTAATTTCGTGGGTTTCATACAAGTTTAAAAGCATCATGAAGGATCAAACAAGATCTTCAGAACCTAATATTTTAATACCTTCACAGTTTTTATTCTCGTGGCGCCTCACTCGATATTGCCCTTGGGGCGATGCATTTACTCCAACCTCTAAAACCCATACGTGCACATTCTTCTGGTATGTTATGCTCAAGTCCGCTGAATACTTAAAGGCAAGGTAAAAGCTCCGTGAAGTTATCCCCCCTACAGACAGCACAAACGATGAAACCCAGCTCATTCATTAATGCTACGTTTTTGCCGGTTTGGGCAGCTGAATGTAAGTTTGTGCTGCTTTTGTTTCCGAGATAGAGCGCCTTGGGGTTCCGGTGATCACGTGACCATGCACGTGACCGTCTGCCGAGTTCAAGCGCTCTGTTACAGTTTAGCTCGTACCCTTAACATTTTAAAGACAATCAATATCCATAAACATATGAGCCTCCTTAGATGTGAATAATACTAAGACATGACGCATGCCAATAAGTTAACCATCTCTGACATAAACCTGTGGTTGTTATGTATGTAAAATAACCGTGTTTGTAAGATCTACGGTTTTTATTTTCTAAGACACGTTTTCCTTTCTTTCCCTACCGTGACACACTCTTGCCAAACGCGTAACTGTGGGATACCATCGCGACAAGACCTCCACAGCATGTCATGATAGGGAGCCCATGTATATCGTGGCAGTGTATATCATGAATGGCGCCTTGCTTTCATGCCACCCTCCACCGCTGTCGCAACAAAGGTCTCATATCAGGACGTGATATACCCAGATAGGACGTGTCGCAATACATGGACTTTGTGTTGTGACATGGGGTAAGCATATCCTGTCAGGGTATGTCATATCGCAACATATTGACTCCATGTCGCGACAGAGGGGCAGGGCATTTTTGTCGGGGGATGTCATATCGCGATATACGGGCTTCATGTCGCGACATGGGCGCCACAGGTTTTTGTCATATCGCGATATAGAGCCTTTCATGTCGCGACATGGGGGCGGGGCACTTTTGGGGGGGGGTATGTCATATCGCGATATACGCGGCTTCATGTCGCGACATGGACGGGGGGCTTTTGTCATATCGCGACATGTGGACTCTATGTCGCGATATGGGGGCGGGGGCGTTTTGTCGTGGTATGTCATATCGCGATATATGGGCTTCATGTCGCGACAGGGGGGCAGTGCATTTTGTCGGGAGTATGTCATATCGCGATATACAGGCTTCATGTCGCGACATGGGCTTGACAGGTTTTGTCATATCGCGATATAGCGCCTTTCATGACGCGACATGGGGCTGGGCATTTTTGCGGGGTGTGCGATAAACGGGCATCATGTCGCGACATGGACGTTTGTCATATCGCGATACATGGACTTAATGTTGCGACAGTGGCGCCATGTCAGTGATGCGCTAGTCGCAATGGGTATCGCGATGTGATCGTGGTGCGCGCACTCCTATCGTGACATGCTATTGGAGTCGTGAACGCGCTGTGGATGCCACGACATTTTTTGTCTGCTATTCAGTTTTGACCTCAGTGCGACTTCTCTTAGATTGATCAGTAATTGGAAACCAATGGATGTGTTACTGTATATCCAGCGTGCCCATACAGCACACACGCTACACACAAAACGTCCGCTGTGGCGCTTTACCCAATCAGAGCGTCGATGCTCACTCTTTACCCAATCGCGGCCCGACCTGTTCGGGGGTTTAGCCAATCACGGGTCTGAGATCTGTTCAAGCTAGCAGCGCCAGGTCGATCGACTTGTTTACTGTCAATGAGAAACTATTTTTTAAATTCTTTACTTATTTGCAAAATAACGACATAGGCTTGTTTTTAACGTCTTGATTGATTCACAATGTCCTGTACTCTTCGAAATAAATACATTTTTTATTTGCAATATAACTGTCTCCGCTGCTGCATGGTATACATGGTATTTGAACAATTTGAATCGTATATTTATAAAGGGAAACACCTTCTGCTTTGTACTTCAAAACTGAATAGAAATGTAAAGTGTATGAACATTATATTATTATGCTCGTGCTTTCAATTTTGTTTTTTAATTTTAAATTATATCGATCTGGAAACTAATACCTAAAAATGTGAATTTGGGCTCTCGAGTTGTACCAGCGGTAATTTGGAAACTGGTGTCTCCTCACCAATGAAAGGAGTACACAAGCAATACATGTTCGAGAACATGGTTAAAAATGAAAAGAAAGAACCTAACCCAATAAACTAACATAGTAATTCCTCCCTAAATGTAAGTGTTTATTCGTGTAAAGGCTGCAAAATCTGGGGTTAACTGATCAAAAGATCACAACTGAAAGATCTGGTGGTCGTGACTTTGCTGTTTTGTACGTCACAGAGAAAAGAACGCGCTATATTGAAACATCCACCCCACCCGAGCAGACAGACTCGGAAAACAAATTGTCCCCATTGTTTTCATCACAATCAGGAGTTCAAGTACCGAGTTTGTTGGTACCTGTAAACATCCGTGTAGTTACGTGATTACCCGAAAAAACAAGTTGCTATATCTCGGAAACGAAAGCAGCACAAACGCAGCACTAACGAATGAGGTGGGTTTCATCCGTTGTGTTGTCTGTAGGAGGACCAACTTCACGGAGCTGTTCTCAATCCAAACACTTCTATTTCCCTGAATGCCTACCACCTGCAATTCGAGAATTTATATTTTATGAGGAACTTTATCAAAAGTCTTCTGAAAATCTAAATACACCATTTCATTTGTTCTTTATATATCTAAACTGATGTTGCTTGTTCAGGGAACTCTAAATCCCTCGACTATAATACTTCCACATAACAGATCCCCCGACTTTAATTATTTTATTTTTAATTGTATACCACTATTAATTATATTATATTGTTTTATAACCTTATATGCAATAGAAGTCAGACTTATACTGTATGTCTACAATTATTTGGGGCAGTTCTGTCACTCTTTTTATAGATAGGTGACATTGCAAGTTTTTCAGTCCAGGTAAATTTAGACGTTCTCTTCTGAATAACATCTATTTCCTTCAGTACATTTGGCTTGAGTTCTTCTAGTACCCAAAAGATCTGCCTCTTCTATTTTTTTTATTAAATAAAGAACTTTGTCCTTCCACTGCCTGAGGCATGTTGTTGACTTCTTAGTGAATACACCAGAAATATGGCTTTGTTGACACACATTCATCCTTTATGGTTCCTAGTTGATGTCCTAGTACTTAAATAAATTTGTTTTTCTTCCATTGCAATATTTTTTAATCTCTCTCTTGGCTGCTCTAATAACCTGTTCAGCCTGTGCTTGCAGTTCATTTTACTGGTTTTCTTTATCTGCATCCTGTTGTTTTTAATCACTTTACAAATGCTCTCTTTTCCCTTATCCAGCTATCCATTTTCTTACTGCTTTATCCAATACAGGGTTGCTTGCTAGCCATAGCCTATCCCAGCAAGTAACAGGTGCAAGACAGGATGAACCCTGGACAGGACACGAGTCCATTGCAGAGCACAGACAAACACAAACATAGACATGCAGGCCAATTTTCCAAGAAGCCAATTAACCTACTAGTAGGACTTGGACTGTGGGAGTAAACTGGAGCACTTAGAGGAAAGTGTCAGGTGAGAGGAGAGAACATACAAGCTCCATGCACACAGCACCCCAGGAATTGAACCCAGGACCCCAGCACTGCGAAGCAACAATACTAATCACTACGCCACTGTGCCACCCTCTTTTCCCTTACACTTCTTCTAATTTATTTGTTGAATCACTTGGGATACACTTTTTTTAGCTTTTGATTTACTCGCTCTTAGGATAAATCTATCATGTACTTCAAGCAGAACCTCTTTAAACCTTTGCCATCCATTCCATATTTATCCTTTCCCATTCTAATTCTCCTAAGCTGTCTCGTTCCTTCAAAGTCTTCTTTTGTGAAATTGCAGGCATTTGAATTGGATTCAACCTGTACAGTTTCTGTATACTTCAAAGCATACCATATTATAATCACATTGTGATTAATTACCTTTGGGGTGCTTAGAAAAGTTAAACAATATTGTTATTTCTTAATTCATGAAGGAATTAATTCATGTTTGATTTATTCATTTAGATCCTGCCAATGCTAAGGTGTAAGAGGCTTTGGTATCCATACTGTAGTAACAAGTAAGGAAACAAACAAGTATTCTGACATCTTATTTGGATTTGTCAAGTGGAGAATCACTGTTACAAGCCTCTTTAGAGTTTGTCTTTCTGTCTATCCATAATGGATGTACTGCAACAATTAATTTAACTTTAAGGTAAGCATAGTTCATAAACTACAGGAGGTTGTGCTTTAATATTTTATAAGGCACACATTAATATTCCAAAAACAAATTTCGGTATCACAGAAAGAGTATGAAAGCAGGAGAAATGAAGCAATGTCATTTAACTTAAGCAAACTTATCCATATGAAGTTAGGAGTAAAGACATTAATTGCAAATGAATAGCTCTCCTGCAGATGAACGTCCTTTTGGAACTTTTCCCTCGGTATTGATCTGTAGAAATACTGCAAAGTCTGACACTGTCTCTGAGATGATTGATTGTGACAGGTTAAATCCACTTTAAGTGCTGTGTGTTTAAGGGTCCTGGTGAATGTTCTGGAAGATTTTCCAGAACATCCTCTCTGTGGTGGTAAAGGGGTGAGGAGCAAAGCAAAAGCAAAGAATATTAACATTCCTCCATGTAAGAGATTAATTATATTAAATCAAGTGGAAAAAACAGATTTACAGAAGATTCACTAGTCAAACTTTAGCTTGAAAAAAATATAATTTCGATGATATTCTGGAGAGGTCACACACTAACACACAGCATTCATAAGTAGCTATCAGTCCATTCATTTTCCCTGCAGCTCCCATGACACTTACCTTTTACTCTCCCACCCTCATATAAAATAATAATGATTTAACACGGTACTAAGCGCCTTTCTTTTATTATTGCTTGCACAAAAGCTGATCTCATCTGTGCAAACTCATCACTGTTGGTGACTGTACAGCTTCAATAAAAGATGTCTGGGCATGTAAAAGACTTCCTACAAAAGGAATACAAAGTACAAAGAAGTGTGGTGTGGAATTTATCTGGGAGCAAACCTTTACAGAGCCTTGGCACTGGCAGTAGTTCACTAAGAAATGTCATTTTCAAAGAACATGGATTGAGTGGATGGATGGGGAAAAGGTGGGGCAAGGTACATCAGCTGCATGATTAAAATAAATCAAAGTGTACATATTTTAGGTGAAAAGGGAGGCAGGATTAGCTGGCAGGGCAACGATGCTGAAAAATCAATATAAAAAGCAGATGCCACATTTCACTGTGGCAGACTGCCAACAAACAAAGGTGGTGCTTCTGAAGGTTGTATGGAAGTTTCTCTGTTGTCCCACAGTACAAGTAATCTGGTCAGACAACAGCGGTTTAGAGCACTACTTTGAAAAAGGAAAACATACAGTACCTACTAATGTTACAAAATAAATTCACATGTGGAATTTGAATTAACATCCAAAAAGATTATGTATTTTAAACATTGTTTAGTATAATGTTGTCATTTAGAAAAAAACATATAGATTTAGTGTTTTACTATGACTATTTACTCAATGGCTACCAGGTCTCACAATTAGTGTAGTATATGCATGTAGAAACACAACAATTTCTAACATTTGTATGTTTTCTGTATCACTGTATACTTTTAATCAATACTGTACAATTTTTTTTAATAGCAGACTACCTTTAACTTTTAGTTTTTGTGCAGTCGTGCTTTCTCTTCAACACCTCCTTGTGGTTACTTTTAAATAAAAAAAAAACTTGTGCAATTGCTCCATCTACTGGCTAGAACATTCCATTACTATATAAATGTATTAACATAATTGACGTTTGTAGTAAAATTTGCTAATCTTGCAAGAGAAATCGGTTTTTCTTCCTGATCAAATTCTTTACAACTGCTAGTCACGAGAAAAGGAGAAAAATGAACAAAAAGTAAGAATGCTTAAGCAGGGAGATGAGGATATTTGTAAAAACATACGTGCATAGCTAACATTCAAGAAACAACGCAGCAAATGTCTGTTAAACAAGGCAACTTATTAAAAGTTTTAATAAAATATTTATCCACTGGAATTCATGGAATTCCAACTGATTCCTTAGCTTGCAACATTGAACTGAAGATTGGTGCCTTTATAAGCTTTGACAGGCTATGGACTACATAAAATGGGATTGCACTAGCAAACGTTTTATAACAAAAATGACAATGATGATGCAATTAACATTTATCAATAAGGCTGATAAACAGTGTCTGTGACAGGCACAAGCTAACAACGTGCGTGGCCACCACCAGACTCAATTCAAGCTGTGCATCTGCAATTCATGCTTATACACAAGGCTCCAGATGTTGCAATGTGGAATTCTGTCCTATACCCCAGGTACAGCCCAGATTTTCCCACAAATGTTTAATGGAGCCAGTAATTAGTTGAACAAGTAGCTCAAGAACAACAAAGAGCATCCACTGCGTAACTGTCACATCGCACAGGAAAGACACTGTTACGCAAGCAGCATAAGGATATGTTGTTTCTTGCTGTCATGTTAGGATAATCCAGCCCGAAGAGCAGCAAGTGAGGTTCTGGGGCTTGACCAATTTAACACCACGCAGACAGATTGTCACTGCAAGTGGAGTCGTGCAGATCTAGATATTCCTGAAAAGACCGTCACATATGGACTTCTCTCGTGATGGGTCTGTTGTGCACAATTAATGCATGATACAGCACATTCTAAATGTAGGATTCCTGGGCACATTAAATTCTTTGATTTATCACTTAAGAGGATAAATCCACTACTGGGAAGTTCATTTGAGAAAATGCTCCACCTTATCAATGGAGCAAAGACATTATCTTTTGAGAAACAGGGCCTATTCCCTGTCAACCCCCCCCAAAAAGGACTTAACATTCAACAGGTTGAATCACCTCCTCACCTCTGACCAATTATCAGCTCTTTCACTGAAGAGGCGATTTAATCAAAGCCACACAAGCCAATATGGGTTACTCATGAATGATCAATGAATAAAAATGACACAGATTAGTTTAAGTTTTGTTGCACATCATGTCTGAAGCTCCAATTAGAACTAAAAATAGACTTCTACATTCTTTTCAAGAATAGCCAACTATCTTACAGATACCGGTGCCACACTGTTCATCACGCTAGTTTAAAATGTGAGATTTGGAGGAAACTAAACGGAGAGAGAGCTATTAAATATCAAATCCCTAGACAAAAGCTTACCACCTGACCACTTAAGTGCCAATCGCATCACAAGGCACTGCACTATGAAGACGCAGGTCTCATCCAGGGCTAAGTGTTTAAAGCTCTTAACCTCCATCTTGAAACTCACAACATCAAGGAGTGTGTAAACTAGGGGCCTTGAACCAAGGTCCTGTAGAGGCCCAATCCAGTTTGTCTTGTAGGATTGTTTTGAGGAATACTTGTCCACTGAGGAATGAATCATCCATTTAATTAAGCAAACTGATGCATGAAGACTCAGGGGTCTTCAGTTTTGTTCCACATGACCTCTTAATTGCTTACTATAGGACTTGCAGGATAGGGGCTGTCTAGGAGCAAGGCTGGAGACATCTGGAAAGAGGTGTGCAGTGCACATGGGATATTAAAACACTTACATCAGCTTAACAGTGTTTATTGGTTAAATGTAATACTCAAAGCCACACAAGTCCACTCCCCCAGCCCCACATATGAGAACAGACTCCTACATCTATTGTCACCCCCCAACACACACAACAGAACAGACTTCTTGTTTTAGCACTTGCGAGGTTGCTGGATAAAGTACATCTTCGGGGTGTACAACTTTTCAACTGCAGGTCTGGGTTTGTTATGTCGAACACTTGCAGGGGTAGCTGGAAAATCATGACTCAGCTGAAAAATAAATGGACAAAAATGAGATGCAGACTTGGTTTAAACTAAGGAGTGATGCATTTGCCTTTAAATCAATTTTCTAAAAAATGGAATTTTAGTTCAGAAGATTCAATATTCAATTTCAGGTGAGAGCAGGTTGTGTTGAGTGGAGGTGGCAGAAACTAGACTTATGTAACATTTAAAGAAAGCTGATTAAACACTTACTGAACAGGCTATATACCAGGGATGCTATGCACTTCTCCAACTTTTCCATCAAAATATTTCTGAGTGTTCACTACATAAAAAACTGCTCCAGGTACGGTGGCTCATTATGTACAAACACTACCAAGTGTTCTACAACAGCCATCAATAGGAGAGCTGACAACCAGTGCTAGCAGCAAGAGGAGTTGTCTTCATGTCTGGTTTATATAGGAGGGTATTCCAAACTTTAGGGAGCACAGGAGTAAAACAAAGAAGGGTCTCAAACCAAACGTTTTTGACTTGTTGCACCCTGTATTTCCACAAGCAAAAACTGCCTCACATTTTAAAGGGGTAACCAAAATGGATAGAGACGGGAGATGCCAAAATAGGACACATTTATGGCCAACAAGACAAACATAATTGAAAATCAAGCTGAAAGAAAAAGCAATTCTCTAGAATTATGTACACAATTAACACATTAGCTCTGATGTAGCCTGTTAAAGCATATAGACTGATTATTGCTAAATTGAACAACTACTGCATGTAATGAATTTCACTCCTGGATCTCTTTTTGACAGTAAATGGTCTTCTTGACAAGGAACACCAGCTCCTACCAAAGTACAGAGCTTTTAAGAACCATGAAAACCGCTCATGAGAAGCGAGCATTAGTCCATACGGTTATGTTTGAGCTAGCATTGAAGCAGCAGCAGATAAACATCACCATCAACTTGTCTCCCTGCACCAAAATCCAATTAGTTGGACATACAGAGCACCTCGGAGTTTACAACCACACCCATTCAAGTTTTTCTCAAGATCAATACTTGGATCCAGCAGCGCTCATGGCTCCAATATTGAGTTTGGTCTCCGAGCCCTCCAGTTACTGTTCCCAGGTTTTATCACCGAGCCCCTCAAGTCTCTGTCCTTGTGCGCCTCTAACTGTTCGGGATATTGATCTCATCTCTCAGATTACCCCCCAGCTTCGTTTCTCTACGGTTTGGCTTGGGCCTCGTCTCCCAGCCTTTCAGTTTGTACTTCGGGCTCTGCTTAGCTTGTTCTCATTGTCTTTGACCACCACCTGCTTGACCATGATCTCGGACCGTGTTCTCACCCTGGTTTCGTACATTGCCACAGCACCACATCCGCAGGCTTGGCACGCTCTCTGCACAGTTTCCCGCTGTGCGCACTACCTGCTCACCCCCGTTTCCATGTGCAGCTCCCAGCATGCTGCCTGCGGGATTCCCTGGGGTTTTCTCTACCTCTAAACAGGCTGCTCTTCCCATCTTGGTAGCACAACATTACAGATATAATTAAAACTGGGGTTCTGGAGAACCATTTCAAAACCTAATCCCCAAGAAGGAATCTGAATTCAGAGCTCTCTCCCACCCCAACACACAAATGGAAAAAAGTTTTGCTTTTACAAGATGACCAACCTTTTCGAGAGTGCCAGATAACAGGATACTGATTGACTGCATTTTGGGAAGAATGGTCACAGATCTGGAAATGAGAAGTAAGATTAAAATATTTTTACAGCTCCTGTAATAAAAGTACTCGAAGAAATTCAGATGTATTTTTTTCCTTTATATGAATCGAATATATAATTAGACTTTATTTAATGAGCTATTTGTATAGCTGCATGATAAAGGGTTCTGAAATGATTTATTTTAAAGGATCTCTAAACAAAAGGTTTACCAATATCAGGTAACAAAGCAAACCATTACAAAATGTTACGCATTTGTGTGTTAATATAGGGCCACAGGAAAAAAAAAAAACTATTTTATCAGAAGCAAAGTTCTGCCACTGTCCCCTTGCTGAACATCTAAATAAATATGCACACAGGATTTCCAGATACAACAAAAATGTATCCAACCTCAATGTGACAGGAACTGACCATTTTCATATTTCTTATGGGACAAAATCCATCATCTTTCAATTCTTCACTCAGAAGAGATTTGTAATGAAAGGCAGCACATGTCAAGGTCTAGTGAATTCACTTTAAGTTATTTCAATTCCCCCTATACCAAGCTGTCCCATCACCCCATAAGAAGCTACCTTGATTTGTCTGCTGCAGGTCTTTTCACCTCCTTCTCAGGGGGTGCATTCTCTTCCATATTTTTCTTCGCCACCCTCTTCCCTCCAGCCTTCACTGTAAAAAGGAAAAGCAGAGTAAACAACCAAGGCAGGTTGTCATGTCTACTAGACCTCCGTTTCTCAGCTGGTAGGCTAAGATTCAAAGGTTTCTGCAGGAAAAACTGACAGACCTTATTAAGCTGCCATGCAAGGTTAGATTTTGATAGTTTCTTACCTACAACATTGGATAATCTGTCCAAGTTGAAAGACTCATTACAAAAAAAAAAACAATGTTGACCAGAAAGAATGGAGTAAAAAACATTTAAAAACAAAAAGATCTAAAAGAAGGTCAGCCATATACACTAAGCATATCATACTGCACACCTGTCATGAAGATCATAGAACACTCATTCATGCTAGTAGATGTCAATCACAATGTTCAGGTGAATTGAAATTAAGACAGGTGGCCTGCAGGTGAATATCAGTTTTAAATGCTCGAGCCACAAGCAACTACCCATTCCCAGTCACACTGCCGTTAAAGTATTGAAGTGCATTTTTTAAGCTGGCATGTTGACGTTACTCCACGTCTGGCCAGGAAGTGCTTAAAAACTTGAATTTTCTGACCCAGCCCAACATATTTAAAACACAGACTAATCGTATTTTCTGGCTAATTACACAAAAATGTGTTCGCTATACAATCTCACTGCTGTTGAAAATCCTGATGCAAAAAAAAAAAAAACAACTCTCAAGCAAATCAAGATCTCAGAAAAACAGTCCAAAGTAAAAATCATGTACAGTATGACTTCTCCAGGGCACCAGTGTTATATTGGGAGCACTGGAGCACAGATTTGATTAGCTGCTGGACACTGCTGTGGAATGCTTGACCACTATTTCTGCACAGCTACAGCCAGGGTACAAAGGCCAGTCAGCCGTGACTAGTCCCTGTTAATGGCAGGGGTGAACCGATCACGCAGACGTTTTACTGAACTGTCGTCAGATAGAGCGGTTCAGAACAAGACCTTGATATGGTCTTTTCTGAAGACATGCCCTTCTAATCCTAGCACTGTGCAATCTTGTATCATCCTTCTGGATGAATCCACCCTTCCAGTGTTTGGCTAGAAGTAATGGAAAAAACCACTGACTCAAGAAAAAACGTATTGCTGGCTTAGTACTTGCCACCATCTCGGTATAAGGTGCGTTCATTCTGATCTGCAATTGGATCATTAATAAAGCACTCCACCAGTCTCCTTGCCACCACATTAGTTGTTCTATAGCCAACAGAAGGCAAGATTTAATCTTTCAGCTGTCAACACATTTTCCCTGAAGTCTCTTAACATGCTGAGCACCACCATGAAGAGAGAGCCACCGTCATGCTGACAGGTTATTTCTGCCTACAATTACTTCTGCTGCAGTTACATCTGTCTGGTTTTAGACAGCAGTGACAAGTCCTGGGCCGGTGTAGAGACCTTCCGCCTTCCAGTTTGTGACCTTACGGCTCCAAGGCCCCGAGCCCTGGTTTCTCTAGACTAGTCTGCCGCTTATTGATGCGGAACATCTCCTTGTCCGAGGCCTGCGTCTCCCACAGACAGGCCTCCTTCAATCACGCAGACAGCTACCAGATTTTCATTTGTCACGCGTGGCAGGGACATACTTCTCACTGCTCTTGTGTTAATTAAAATCAGGTCTTTCCAAGCAGCTATTTCTGCATATTCTTAATTTTATCTCCAGTCACTGAAAACCGGGTATTTTATGAAATTGCATGAAATAAGCTTACGGTTGTGCGATTCCCAAGGACAGTACTACTCAATCGACTAACCTTCCCTCCCCCTAAGAGTACTTTAGCTGTAAACCCAACAAGCCAATGATGTAGAACAGCGATTCACAGTAAACATAAAAGCATTGGTCTGACTTTACAGAGAGCTTTATAGACTGTGTAAAGGTTACATTTATTTCTGCTAGATAAGGGTTTACCAGATCATAGTCTTTACCGGATGTAGTGGTTTTTTAGATGAACAAAGTACAAATTAAACAGACGGCGACACACAGATGTAACTGTTGGCACCTTCCCATATTTATGTTTTTCTGTCAATGCCTTCACGCACTGTAGAAGGTTAGCCACATGGAATAATATGAGAACTCAGAACGCAAGCAGCAGGATGTCACTGTTAATTAGGGCAAGGCTTCCTGCACTACCATTTCCAGACAGTTACAGATGAAAGCATTCTCTTGTGCCTGAAGTAGAGGCAGGGATCATTCGGACACTGTAAAACAAAGCATGAGCAAGTAAAACAGATGTGTGGATTTGTACATTTTAAGCTTGATTTTGCCTTGTAGAGTTTTCCTAGATTAAACTCAGACTGTAATTAGTCATAACTCCTAAAGAAAAGACATTGTTAAAGGTCTGTCAAGTCAATTTCAAGTCAATCAAGTTAATTAACTATCATCCAATTTGGTTGAAAAGATACATCCAGGAATTGACTTATAAACTAAATAACTAAAATGCCAATCAAAGTCCTAGACACCAAATAATCTAAATATACAATACGTTCACAGAGAAAACTAGCCTTGTGTGACTGAGGGACAGGAAGTAGCAGTTTGTTACACACTAAAACTTTTTAAAGGTAATAAGATTTGCGGATCTGGGTTAAAGCAACCGTGAGCATAACCTCACATAGGTAATCATTAATACAGTACCACTAGTATTTAAGATTAAAAAAAACCTAGACTGGTTTTAAAATTCACTACAGTCCAGTTACAAAAAGTGGAGAACAAACGAAGAATGCCGTTCTTACACTTGCAATGACGTCCTCGAATGCTCATTCTAAAATGCAGTTTTTATTGGATCATGTAACAATAAATGCTGATGCAATCTATAATGCATATATACATTATAATTGTTGAGATTAACTAGAATGCAAATGCGCCCCTAGTTTCTAGCGTTGCATCTACACGCTAGAATTCGTTTACCGTACAGTTCTTTTAAAACAAAAACAGGAAGTTAAAAGGGCACAAACATCTTGACTTGAGATCACAGTGTAGCCGTTATGTAAATGTGGATTTTGTGCCACGTTTGTAGCGGTTTTGAAAAAAATATATAATTCTAAGTTTAGAGTACGTCTTATGTTGTTTGTGCTTCAACTCCAGAGCGGAAGTTTAAACCTCAGAAGCAAGAACAAATAAAAGCGAAGATATCATTTTCTAAGAAAAAGGCAGTAAAACGGATACAAAGCAGCTTATTTATCATCTTCGGGTTCCACGAAATGTGTATTATTTTAAGAAAATAAAACCTAATCGTAGCAGAAGAAACAGCAGAGTAATTAGATTACTACTATTAAACACCAACCTGCAGGAGGATGCCCAGCTTTTAACGCAGAGTTCGGTTTGATTCCAGCTTTAGACAACTTAACCATCTTCAAACTTTGATTACACAAGTAGCAAAACACGTAGTATAAGCCGCCCTCACTTGTTTATAGCAATACCACTGAAGAGCGAATGACGTCTCGTTCAATTAATGCAGGCAATTTTGATTTGTGGGGGTGGGGATATGAAAGTTTAAAAAACAGCTACGTAACCATGCAAGGCTTGAAATAATTACGCAATCGGCACGGTTGTGTTGTGTCGTCTTAAACTGGAAAGTTGCAGAAAAAAATTGTGCATCATTCAACGACCATTTTGTTAAAAACCTCTTAGTTTAAAAGTGTGTGATTGAGGAAGATGGATGAATTAACAAAGGTCGAAACCTATATCCATAACTGCAAAATAACAGAAATAAGTGTATATAGTCAAGACAACATGCAAACATACAAGAGTTCATGTTCATGCTGAGTTGCGATGTCTATATCATCCGAGCCACCTAAAACAAACGATAAACAATTCGACAAATCAAGTTATGATTGCTCAATGATTGCGGGTTTTTGTTGTTTTTTTTTTCAAACACCTCAATGACCTGCAGGATACTGCCTTGCCTGTAAAGGTAACCCTGTAATTTTAATTAATATGAAAACGTTAATAAAAATCAGACGTTTATTTATTTTAACAGTGTTGTGTACGTTTAACTATATTAGTAAATTAAAAACAGAAGGACGATTTAGAAGTAAATATTATATACCGTGAGAATAACCACGTTTTTCTCTAAAGAGAAAATATAATATGTTGTCTATTTTTCAAAACACATGAAACTGTAACATTATTTTACACACAGTGCATGGGTCATCTGGGAAAGATATTTACTAATGTTTTTAATTTTATGTCCCTTGCGCATTTCTCTGTTTGTTTGAGCATGCAGAGATCAGATTTCTCAATTTCAGTCTGTATTGAAAACTTCAATAAATGGCATAAATACAAAAACAAATACCAAACGGAGAGTAACAACCAAGTCGCCTCTCATAAACATTTCCCGAGATGCTGAACAGGGTGTAACACGTTAGGCCTGTTTTAAACTCGTGCTTTCAAGAGTGTAAACTTACTTTTACTCCACCCTAATATGCCCTCAAACTAGATAATACACAGATTAAACAAGGTGTATAACACCACAGATGTCAGTAGCTTTGCAGGGAATGTGTGCATATACCCGCATGAAAGCTAGTACCTGAAATCTTATGATCTTCAATTAATTCATTGAACTAAATGGAAGTTAGTGTATGTTGCCCATTCAATGCATTCAACTTTATTCATCCCCAGGGGGGCAAACACACAGCAAATATAAATTCATATTGTTTAGATAATAAGCAAAGACTATTAGTAAGCTTTAATTTTGCAAACATTTTACACCCATCCATTGTTAGTCACCTTTTTGTGAGGGCTGTGGGCAATGGGCTCTAAAAGATTGGGTGATATTAATGCATATTTGCACAAAATTGCAGATTGTAAATATTCTGGTTGCAAAAGATTAACATTTAACTTTGAGGCTACAAATAAAAGCCACAGTGCAATATTTGCTTGCTCATTTGCAAGCAAACGATATCTGCTATGCTGTGGGTTATGTATCAGAATGCTGGACAGGCCTATTTGCATATTTTGGCTAGCATGATTGCAAATGGATACCCCAGTCTTCACAGGAGAGTTTGAACAGGGGTAATTGTTGCGACGCATTTGGCAGGAACAAGACATCTCGGCTAGCTAATGCTTCATGAGCAACAGTGTATAAGGTGATGTCAGTATGGAACCATGATATCCAGGCATTAATTTGAAGGGCAAGTGCAGAAAAAAGACGAGCAACTGCAGTTTAATTGGAAGCAAATTTTTTATCCAGGGCTCAAGCAGCCATTGTAATCAACAGTCTTCCACCGAGAATTCCGAGGAGCAGGATACCATGGTCAGAATACAGCGCACTTCTCACCACACCTGGCAATGTATGCTTGCTATTTCAGTGCTCTAAAGAGCACATTGCATTTCCGAATTGTGATATGGTCAGCTGAATCATCCTTCATCATGTTCTTGACCAACAAAAAAGTGCACCTGAGAAAAAGCTCTACAGTTCTTAATGCTTAGTTCCAAATGTGACGAGTTCTGGTGTTCCACAGTATTGTAGAGCATATTTTTTCCGGCTTGGGGAAATAGTGTCTACTTATGCATTTACAGTATGTCTGTGTTTTGCAATTCATTCTGTAGAAGACATTTAGGTTCACCGTCAATATTTTTGAGGACTTTGACTACTTGTGTCAAGTCCCCTCGTAATCATCTGTATTCAAGACTAAAAAGGTTCAGTTCCTTCTGCCTGTCAGTGTAGGACATGTCCTACAATGTGACAGAATCCAGAGCAGCAATATCTTTTCTATATAGAAACCACAATACTATATACTATCTAAATTAGGCCCTACTAGTGCATTATACAATTTTAACACAAGATCCCTTGATTTAAATTATACGTTAGCTATACATCCTAACATTTTGTTTGCCTTTATTACATTGAGCAGTAGATGTAAGTAATGTAGCAGAATCTAGATGAATCATGGATGTAAACTGGGAACATCAGTGGTCCTTGTACAGGTCCTTGTGGTACTCCACTAATTACATCATCCTGATCTGTGTATTCGTCTTACGTGTATTGTTTTCTATTTAGTAACCAATTCTCTATCCAAACACTTAGGTGTCCCTGAATGCCTGTGACTGCAATTTAAGAATTAATGTAAAATTAATGGAAAGTAGGAACTTTCTGAAACCTTAAATACACCACATTAAATGCTCTATGTGTATCCGATACTGCTGTTGCTTGTTCAAAGAACTCAGCAAGGTGGTTTGGCAAGTCCTGCCTTTTCTTAGTTCATGTTACACTGTGGCTAGTTGAAACCAACTGCCAAGGTTGTCCAGCGGAAGGCTTGGCGATTTTTCGGTGGCTGGTGGACGATGCTGGATCGGAGTTCGCCGGAGATGTAGTGGCAAAATGGTGGACGGGATCAGGTTGTATGGAGTGTGTTAATTTCCTCCAGCAGAGTGGGTAGGGAAATGAGACGCCGCTGGAGCAGTGCTGGACTGGCTTCAGTGCTCCTGGAGGATGTCGGGTTCCAGGTCTGGAGTTTCAGGTTTTGGCTTTCTGGTTTCTGTTTGATGCGTATCGCTGGACTCGCACTACACCGGAGTAGCTCAGATGTCACAGTTCCAGCTGCTGTTGAGGAGTCATAAAGGGAGGTTAATCAGGGGATTGATTGGAGGATGGATGAGATTATTGGAAAAATGAGGGACGAATGGATAAAGGGCCTGAGCGTGTTCCGAGACGCCCAAGATGAATGTGTTTACTCGACCAAATGTTACTCCGTCACAGGCAACCAAGGACTGTGAGCTCCTGCTTGCCTGGGCATGACACCCACTATCCCCTGTGATGCTATTTCTATATAGGTGATCCTTTAATTCAGTCCTGATAATTGTTTCCATAACCTTACATGTAAGAAAAGTCAGCCTTCCTATAGGCAAACATTGCATTAGCAATTTTCCAGTCCATGGTTATTACCCCCTTCTTGAGTGATCCTGTCTCCTTGGGTACAACGGAGCCCTCATGGTATGCTAATACTATTTACATGGATAGAGGTATGAAAATGTAATAAAAAGAAAATAAAAGGAGGGTTTAAATTGAGGTAATTTAGTCAGTTGTGCTCTTCTAGGGGTTTCGAGCTTATTGATGTTGAAATCTTGTTTCATGAAATATTCTGAAGACTTTACATATGAAACATAATTTGAGATTTTGTTTTTCCCTAAACCCCAATAACTTTTACAATCTTGAAAGAAGATTCAGAAGAGAAAACAAGAAGTAACTAGTTTCCATGGACAAAACGTTCACATTTATTTCTGTTTCATGTGCATAGAAAATGGCAGTGAACTATCCCATGAAAGAAACAGGACAGGAAATGGAAAAATAAAGATAATATATCTATGTTTTCAATTACACAATCCATTTAAAAACAAAAAAGTAGTTTATTAGCATTTGAATGCTTGTGTAATGATGCCAGATTTTTTTTTTAAATATATATAATTTTCACATGGCACATGTCTTTACCAGAGCTGCTGATCTTAGAACAAGTTGGCTTATTTTCTGTTTTGTATTTACAAGAAATGAAGAAAATGTACAAGACTTGATGGCATACACAATCTCAGTTTTAAGTACAGCAATAAAACAAAAAAGGAATACAATTTGATTCCTCTGTACATCGTTAAATTCTCTTCATAGATATGAAATCTTGATTAATTCTGGCCTACGTACACTTTCCTCAGCTTTTTCTCTACTGCAAGCCTTTCATCATGTGACCCACACCTTCACCAATCTACAAGAGCTACAAATAAAAAGTTCTGAAATCTGGACAGAGCAAAGCAGACTCTGACACATCTCCTTACGCCCCCGTCAAACCAAATTCATGGTTCTCTCATTTTAACACCTCCTTGATCCCTTTCTTTGGTTCACATTCTCTTTCCCATCAGACACATTCAGCTCACTTAAAAAACGAACAAAGAAAACAATTAATCAAATTAGCCTCTTTTTAAAAAAGAAATCCCTCTATACCCAAGAGTCTGGTGATCCAGGGTACTGTTCCGCTCTGTAAGAAGGCCGCCGTGTAGTGGAATAAAAGTCCACGTAGTTTGTCGTTGTTTTGAGTCCATGCGGTTGGGAAGTATACTCTGTAGCAGAGGGATAGTGAAGTTGTTCATCAAAGTAGGGGTCTTCGTAGCTGTGTGGAGATTGCAGGTAAACTTTGTAGGTGTCATAGTTTCTCCTGCTGGGGTCCTCTTGGCTATAATACAGCTGTTGATGCTGGAGGTGAAATTGAAGGAGTAAAATGTAAGACAACATTAGATATTCACATTAGACTTCCATGTTCAAAATGGAAGGTAAACTGGACTTTCAGAAAGCTGGTTTGATGCTGAACATACAATAGGAAAGGTAGGCAGCACAAATAAAGTTTATCTTGTAACATTTATTATAAAAAATGCTTCTTTATCATGTATTTTCTAACCATCTGTATTTTCTCCATTTTCTAACCGTTTTATCCAATGCAGGGAGAGCCATGAGAGGGCCAGAGCCTATCCCAGCAAGCAAAATGTGGAAGGCGGAATACACCTTGGACTGGATGCCAATCCATCACAGGGCACACCCACACACAGACACTCATAACAGGGCCAAGTTTCTCAGAAGCCAATTAAGTTATCAGTATGTCTCTGGACTGTGGGAGGAAACCCATGAGAACATAGAAACTCCACACAGATCCCCAGATCTGGAACTGAACCCAGGGCTCCAGTGCTGTGAGGCAGCAATGCTAACCCCTGCAGCACCATTACTATTGTTACAATTATAAATTGTAAGAATCTGCTACATTATTCATTATTATATTAATTTCAGAACTTAGGTATGCTTATTCAATGAAAATAAATGTAAATCTGAAATAACTCCTATATCATGTTATATATAATTATATATATTATACTCAAAAACAGTAAATAGTGGTGTTAAACAGCAGTACTGAGGCCATGTGAACACCAGTAGAAAGCCAAATGACAAAAGGACTGTCCCAGATAGGGTGTTATTCTTTCAAGATTTATTTACAGAATCTTGAAGCCAAGGATTTAGATTTTGTTTTTGACGTATTAATGTGACGCTGTTCTGTTTCTCTCCCCAGTTTCTGATTTGTAGCTCATCTCACAACCGCATTGCACGTGAAGAAGGCTGATTAATGACTGTGCTCTGGTATCACAGCCTAACCCGGACCCGTTTCATCCAATGAAACTCATCACAGCATAATGCTGAGCTAATGGAAAAAAGAAAAAGGGCACAGCTGGCCTCATTTGTTTGAAATATGGTACATTTATAACATAAAAATAACTGGACTAAACAAATTGACCAAAAATCTGTCTGTACTAAATGATACCAGATAAACACTGCTTTCCCAAATGATCCTACATTGACAAATCCATAAGTATTGAAAGGTGTCAGAAATATTAGACTATGTGCCTGCTGAGGCAGTTACTTTAGAAAATATAAAGGTAGATGCCTGCAGTCCACCATTTTTCAAAGCACAAATATCTTACAGTCTTTTCTTATTTGTGTAGAGGAGAGAAAAACAAATCCCAGCTGTGTTCACAGATGATATAACATTTTCTCTTGATTTTATTCCAAGACTTTTTAATTTTTTTTCTTCCTTTCTCTTATGGGAAGATTCTCACCTGTGTTCTCCTTGATTCCTCCCTCGGTGGCGAAGAATACGAACCTATATAAAATGGAGATGGCTTCCCAGACCCTGTGGAGAAGAAAAAAGTCAAGTTTCTTCAATTAAATTACATCATACATACATTGTTAAACTCTATTGATGTGTAAACAAAGTGGAAAGGCTGACATTAAAACTCTGTAGTCTATACATTTTAAAAAAACAACTTATCCAAAGGAAGAATTCAGGTGCTATTTTCTTGCAGTCTGCACAGCCTTTATTTAAAATTTAAAGTAGATAAAGATAATCTGGGACTGCAGCAGATTAGAGCAGTTCTATGAGTAGAATTAGAGCTCACTGGAGCTCAATCTGTATGTTTTCACTTTATTTTAGTAGTGTTTTTAAAAAAGTGGCACAGGTTACTTTGGAATTAGAATATTTTGTAGATAATCTTTAAAAAAATGATTGAAATAATCTCTGAGGTTTCAACCGTAGTTGTACATTTAGAATGGAGACAGAGCAGTTGCAAGGAAAATGCACCAGTTCACCCTTCACAAACTGCAATGTTTACACTAGCATCTCAGACATGTCTGTCTTAAGCAGTGCTATGAACAAAGTCCATCTGGCAACAGTGTGTCTACCAAACAACGCCTTCTCTACCTCAGAGGCATAAACACAATGAGCTTTGTAGTTGTGCCCAGCTGCTCTTAATGTAGTACAGGGCAACAGACGGATATAAAAACAAACGGAACTTTAAAGCAAAAAAGGAATGTGAAGTTCTTTTGATGATTAGGAAAACGGTCAAAGTTATACAGTAGTGGTGATATTCAAGGAAGATTTATGAAACCTGACATGGTGCTAAACAGGTAACATTAATACAAATGTGTGATCTGCGCAAAATCTGAAATATGAAGTGTACATTTTATAATTGTTTGAAAAATATGCATTGTATATGTTTCTCTGGCACAATTAGCAGATCTTTAAATTGAAAGACCAAGCTTCTTGTTTTTCATTGTTTGACAGTTTGAAGTTCAAAATTTGCCATTCAGGAGAACATTAAAAAAAAGGTCTTGCATTGTACAGTATCACTTTTCTTTACCTGTGTACTGACTTTTATGTACATTGTTGTCTCCTTGGTAGTTGTAAAATTGCATAGATGGCTGTGTCCTCTGATAATCAGAACGTTGCTCTTTTATTCCTAACAAAGCAGGTGATGATGTTGCACTACCAGCTGCAAAATAAACAACAAATGGGACAAAAGGTAAGATTAAAGAGTGACCATATACTGTTAAATTCTGCATCTTGTCAGAACCATCTTGTTTTATCCAGTAGGAACTTAAACAAAACTCTTCACAATGTTACATCCAGGCAAACCAGAGCTCGCAGCCCACCGGTCTCCACGGTAACTGGTTGCTTTTGCACATGGACTCAAACAACTGCTGGTGCCGTGAGAACACGATCAGGTTGGCTGTTATTGCCACCTGTCCCCAATTAATGGGTAATTGCCCCAACATCACTGGTTACTTAAGGCCTGCCCTGTCCACAGCAAGAAGCTCAGTCATCGAATCATTCTCATGTTTGCAAGTTCCCCTCGCATGAAACACCCTACGAGTTAAACATCCTGTATTTTGTCCTGTACCTGAATCTGTCTCAATCCCAATTTAGAGACGGAACCCTTGGGCCTGCTGGATCCCCCCTCCTTGTCTCCTTATCACTACCCGACTGTGGATGGCATCCATAGCAACCAACCTGATCTGCGTGACTGTGCAGCTTCCCTGTTCTGTGCTGCCCGGCTGTGGCGCTCATTCCCTGCTCTGCCTCCTGTCTGCCTGCTCGACTCATGGCATTTCCTGCCAGTCGGCCCAGCCTTTCAACCTGCCCTCAGAGAGACCTAGTGAGTGGATTCTTTGGCCTGTCTTACAGACGCTGCGTTCTCCAAGTCAGCCCGGCTTCGTAGCCCGGAGGCTCCGCTTTGTAGGGATATCTGTTTTTTTCCCTCACCTGACTGGATGACTGGCGACATCTGCAGGTTGCTGGTTGGTAAAGTAGGATGTGACTTGTACCTGTCTCGCTCTAAAGTGGACACCGGAGTAATGAAGTGGGTCTGGTTCCAGCCATCCTGGAATCCAGAAACACAAACAAATTGGTAAAGAATGGTTCACATCCCACAAGGAACCAAGCTGGACTGTGCCTGTGCAGATGCCCCCGTTACCTTTTTATAGATGCTGCGCAGGTCTCTGTATTGCCACAGTGTGTTCAACACCTGAGCTGCAGCCTTCACAACTTTCATCGAATACCTTAGAAGAAATAAAAAGAGGCTTTGATTTGTTTTTCCCCCCCCCCAACGTTCAAATGCTTTTTTTCCAGTTAGTTTTTTGTCAAAAATACATTTCTTTTTTTTAAAAGCTTTTTGTGCTTTTGTCAGAAGCTTTCTTCTGTGATATTTAAACAAAAAAACTCCCATCAACTAAACCTGTGGGTTGTGCTATAGCATACTTTAACTAAATACAAACTAGATTTTTTTAGGCCATGTTGGCTGTTGCTTAATGTAGTTCAAAATTATAAGATGATTACAAAACAATATTGGATTTCATTCATTAGAGATGAACAATCTCAACAATACATCAAACTGAAATTAAGCGGTCCAGAGAGTGACACACACCTTTCTCCTCTTCCTTTAGTGATATTCACCAGCTTTTCGATGCCCCCAGTGTCTGCCAAGGCCTTGGCATTCTCCATGTTTTTACTGGTGACCTCATGCAGGGTGCAGCAGATAGCTGCCACAGTGTCATCAGACAGTAATGTCGTATTGCCGCCTGGAAGACGGTTGACCAGGTCTCTCATGGCATACTTGCCTGTAGAAATCAGAAAGCAAGGTGAGGAGATTTCACACAGTAACTCTCCCAACTCATTCTGTTTTAGGTAGGACGGGGCACAAGGCCTTAGGGACATATATTTTATTGACTTCAGAATATGTAATTCAGAAACAATGATGGGAGATGGGGGAAAAACTGGGAAACACAGGTAACCTTTGCAACCTTTCCCAGGAGGACAACAGGGATCAGAACTACAATTAGCAGGATGCTACGGGAATCCTAAAATACCCATCTCATTTTATAAGGCACACAAGTTCGCAATGTAATGTGTGCCTAAGCCTTTATTAAGGTGCTAAGACCAAGTCTCTGTGTGACTTTTATTATTAGTGGAGCTTTGGCTGCCACAGGTGTTTTAAATAGCTGAAAATGAAATGTATTTTGAGAAAGAGAAAACAAACTCATGAGCGACTATTCAAGCTTATGAACTGTTGAATTTGGGGAGTAAAGCTGCTATTCACTTTATACTGCAGATCTGTGACTTGCAATATGTATTGTCATGGCCCTCCATAATCAGAAACAAGCCCCTTCCAATTCCTGCAAACCCCGGCATAGAAGCTAATTATCGAATCACACCATACACCTCTTGGTTCTCAGAATACTTAAGGGCACTTTATCACCACCACAGTGCTCAGTATAGGGTATCCCAGTGGAGCTCCTAGTTAACGTCCTCGTGTCTCCTTGATTGATGTCCGACTCTTGAATCTCTGGCTTCCTGACCTGTGCTTCCCTTTGACTACGATTCCAGACTCTACGATTTGGCTAAGTGCACCTGACTCTCTCTCAAACCCCGTGTATGATATTAAACCTGCTACTGCATAGGGTCCAGTTTTACATATTTCTTTGGCCATTGTGCCGTTACATGTACATTGAGAGCTCTAAAGAGAAAGTCAAGACTTTTGTTTGTGTTTATGGGCTGGTGTAAACATGCCATATTTACTGAAGTGTTATGATATGCTATGATAAGTAAAGAACCATCATTAGAACCTCTACAGATTTCTTATTCTAGAGGACTACCCTAAAGAAGTCAGACTGTATTGATTAGTATCTCTAACTGTGGTACAAATAAGAAACAAAAATCCATTCACACACAAAAAATACAAAAATAATCTAGTCTAATTTTGTGATTGTAAAAATTCCTCACCACTGCCAACAAAGAGATTGTCTGATTTCATGCAAACTGTCAATTTTCTCCTCAACTGCCCAAAGTAAGAGATTTAAAGTCTTCAAAGTTTCAATAGTTAAAAATACATCCTCTAGAGAACAGAGTATAGGTACAGTATAAAACTCCATACCTATAAGTTCCTTGTTTCGCACGTCCAGGGCCATATTTCTTAAGGCCGTTGCTACAGAACACACCACCCGGTCATTATCCATCCTCAGCAGCTCCACAAGGATGGGGAGACCCTTTTCCTTTCGGACAGCTGCCCGGATATAGGCTGCAAACTAAACCGAAAGGGAAGCAGAGCAAGATGGCTATTTTCATGCTTTAACAAACACATACCATCACATTTTTAATCTGGCCACCTGCCATGAGTAAGACAATAACATCACACAGTTAAATCCTGCTTGTGGAGTCTGGGTTTCTAAACAATCAAAACCTCGACTGACAAACAGGTTAGTTGCCCTGAAAGACACACATCGCAATGAGTCTAACTGCCGAAATGTAAGCAATGGCTTAGTGTTAGAAGAGTCAACTACAATAAAGAAGTAATCTGCAAAGGAAAAGCAGCCACAGTTTCACATTTCTTAACAAAATAGAGAGGCGTAGAGGAGTTAATTGCCTTATGTACCTGCACACTGGAATTCTTATTCGTGGTGATCTCTCAGGACATACACAGTACAGCAGACGATATGTATGATATAAGTATGATGTACCACTGTGTTTTGTGCATTATGCAATAAATGGAAGTTCATAACTGCAAAGTCTTGACTATAAACTACGCATCTGGCCAGTGTGTTGCTGTACAGCACGATAGAACTGGCATCAAACTTAACCTGACAAAAAACAAAACGGTCAACCATGCACAGTTGGTCTTGATATTGAAATGAAACTGAGACAAACTACCTTCCAGTTGCCTGCTGAAAGATTCTGAAGAGACCCTGCTGATCCTTCTAATGTAGCTGGGTTGGAACTTTCCGCAAGGAGGGTTAGATAAGGTTTCACTACAGTCGGATGCCACAACATTTCAACACCTTTGGGAGGCTTAGAGAATCCAGGAATTGGGCCAACTCCATCCCACTGAGAAGAGATATTGAAATATGTATACATGGAAATATAAACACTTGTATAGTTTAAGAGCTTTTGACCTGTCCAACATTTCTCAGAACTCCATTTTGTCTTTGATATCCTTTATTATTTAAAGGCGGTACAGGGAGCCTAACCTGGTCGTCTTGTGCCAATTTCTTTTTCTTCTTCTTTTTCTTCCCCCAGCAACTAGAATCTACATCTTTGCTTGGAGATTCGTTCCCCAGCAAACCATCGAGCTCATTGGTTCCCAGCAGACGAGTCTGAGGCATCTCCAGTTCCAGACGGTATGACAAGTTCCTTAATGTGCAAATACAGTTCTCCACAATCTTAAAAGCAAAAGAAAACCTTATTAATTAAAAAAAACAGCATGTATTTAAATATTTTACAACTTTAAAGAAACATACTTGAAAAACACTCAACTAGCAGAGAGAGCACACTGTGATAACTAATTAATGTTTTTAAGCTTTTAATAAATGTCAGGATTAAAACAAATGGTTTAATTAGGAGCCGTGTGATGTCTTTATACTGGCGTTCACACTCTAGACGGCTTAACAAAAAAAAATTGATTTAAAAAAATAACACTCTGCGCATATTAAACAAGAATGGATTTCCTAGAAAGTAAGTTTAGCAACACTGAGGAAAATGCAAATTGAGGAGAATTCTCAATTCCTCATGCACATATACTGTACTGTATGTGCAGGAATCCTAAGACCTATCTGGGGGAAAAAAAGACACCAGGTCCCTAATGTACAACAGACAAGCTGACTAGAACAAATGCTATATCAGAAATGCGAGTTTTCCATCGCACTGGGACAGAGGAAGAATGGTTTATTTAATATATAACCATGATGCATTTGTTAACTTTAAAGACAATAACGTATAGAGCAGTGTACTGAGGCAGCTTTCTTTTCAAGTACTGCAGAAAGACACTAGAGACGTGTGGTGCAGAGACGCCCATGAAGCTCAATCTGGATGAAAGCTGCAGACCTTGCTGTCAAAGTCAGACGTGCTGACACAGGCCTTGATGACATACAGCAGAGAATCCACCAGCCCCTCGCACGTCCGCATCTGTTTTCGCGCCTCATCCCCGGCCGAGCTGAGATTCCTACATGGCCAGAAAGACGTCTCGTTAAATGATGCAGAACACACAGATACCCAGCAGCAGCAATCTCGTCCTAGCAGCCTGTTTCCAAATAAGACGTGCTACCCAGGAGACAGTTTCTTCCTTTTTTTTTCCAGAGGGCTTGATTGTGCGATGGCATCAATTATTTATTAAAAACCCCACAGAGACTGAACGACATCATTAGGAAAGCTTTGGTGGGGGAAATGAGAGACTAATCGTGTGTGTAGCTGCAAATCTCCAAAGCAGTAACCAACAGTTTAATTTGCAAAGTCGTATTTGCTTATTTGAGAAGAAAAGCAGCATGGACTATAATATGTAAAAGCCACTGCTGAAGCTAGCTCCTGATAATTTAAGACACCCACTCAGAGAAAGGAAAGAAAGTTCAAGGAAGAACTTGTTCTAGCCAGATCAAACTACCTTGGACTAATTAGGAAGCCAGAGTCCTATATACTATGAAACTCATTTGATCCTCATAAGATTTTTAAGTCACCTTGGAGTAAGCTGAAATAATAAAAATATTTTCTGTTGAAATCAAAGGGCATTCAGTATCAGTAACAGGGCTGACCAAGAAAAATAGAAAAGAAACCCTCTTAATCCTGAGCTCCAGTACACAGATTTCACTAATTCACTAATAATTAGGGATGGAAATGAGTTAAACTACAATTGCATGGAAAGAGTTACAAGGTTTGTGATATTCCTAATTGCTTCCCAGAAGCCTGCCACATCGCTGACCAAAAAAAAGTCAATTCAAGCAGCAATTCAAGCAGAAAAAACATGCCCGCTGAAATTGAAACATCTATTCTCTTCACAAAAGCCCGAGCCTTTCACAAACCAAAGCTCGCAGAACACGGCGAACAGAAACAGCTAAAGAACCTTCCGTTCAGGGTGAACATGGAGGGGTGTGTTGTTGATAACGTAAAGGTGTGGAGCAGTACGAGCAGGAGTAGGTGGGAGTTGAGACCTGGGGGGAGGCAACTGCAGGACCACACCATGAACGCCATAAAGCACAGCAGTCACATCCTGGAAACCCTCCAGCTCTCGAGACACTGCGTACCAGGCACTGCCACACCGCATTGGAAAAACTTCCTGTCTCATGTCATGAGTGACTGAGCCAGTGGTATATGAATTAAAAAAAATAATAAGGCAAGCTATAGATGTTCTTACATAATAAAACTTACTTCACCTCACTAAGCCCCCCACATTTCAGACTAATGACCTTCAGTTTCTGTTGAAACAATTTCTGAAAAACAACCTTATCTTTGCTTTTAAGTGCACAAAGCCAAAAGAGAAGTAGAAATAATAAAATGCAGTCATCTTTTTTATCACGTGCGATTAAAATTCTTAATATGTGAGAATATTCAAGGGGGGAACTAGGTCAGTTGCAAAAGAACACTTTGAATACTTCAGGTGTCACACCTAAAGAAAGCTCTATAGCTGACATATTGTTTCTTCTTTCTATTTTTTGAGTGTGGAATTGTCCTTTACTTGTTCTTGTGTGAGAACATGCCACTTAGTAGAAAAAGTCTAAGCCACAGTTTTCAGTCTATCCACTAGATGTCACTTAAGTAAAGATTTTCGTTCTGTTGGAAAGCTTTGACCGGGATTTGAATTTACCTCAGACAACCTGTGGTGTTTCGAAGTACAAGGGAAGAGTGAAATTTCAGTTTGCGATCATCATCAAAGGACGAACTGTTCCAGCCAGAATGTGGGACTATCACAGTGTTTGTCAGTGTGCTTAAGGCATCCCGTATGATTGTCATTTTTACTGCATCGCAAGACGATAAGTTCCACAGCACCCCTGGAGAGACAAAAAAAAACAAGAGGGGGAATATTACACAGGTGATGCATGCCGTGGTTTTCATCAGCCGTCGTGTACAGGTGATATTTCTCAGTATGAGTAAATCTGAAAACTCCAGACAAAAAGAAAATGCTGCCTTTTAAAATGAATACACACAAAGATGGAAATTAGCGACCTATGTTAAGAAAATATCAGCAGTATAAGGAAAACAAAAAAACATTTTAAAAACTCAGATCAAGCCAAACCTATAAAATATTCCAATTATGTCTTCCTTTAGAGTTAGCAGTTAATTCAACATCTGTTCTAGATTATAAAGTATGTAAATTGATTTTTTTATTTGATTTTTCTTGCAAGTAGGTAGGCTGAAAAGTAAATTCTCAAAAAGCAGCAAATCAAGATATGTAAACAGCCTTATACTTAAGAAGAATGCCCTTTCTACTTTTCAGGTGAGTATTAAAGAGAATGAGAACACATTGCCAGCTCCACTTATTTTTCAGCACTTTATTAATTATAATTGACATCTTAGAATAGGATGGTTATTAAGCCAGGGGCTCTTTGCAATCCAAGGGTTTCTCTTCAGTGCTTTTCTATTTTCACACCCACCTCCTGTCACTTCTCTTTCCATTACATTCTGGCCATGTACTTTTACATTAAGCGAACTGATGAACACTTACATTAGGTATTTTTAAATGTGTTATACTCTTATGTTAGAAATGAGAGTGCTTTTTGCAAAAATCAACTGTGATTTTGCCATTAAAGATGCTGTACTCACATGTTTATTGCATATTATGTAAAAATATACATCAAATAAATAGTAAGTACAACAGAAAGTAATATCAAGGCACCAGACTAAGGTTGGATACTGCTTTAATTTACAGGCTTTCAATAGCTGTATGCAAAGAATGCAAAACAAAACAAAGATATCCCAAAATTCAGATATCTATACTTTGCCTTGCACAACATATGAACAACACCCAATATTGTTGCTTGAAAAATAAATCTATGGCTTCTAGCTTTCTTCAAGTCAAAATCAGTTTATTTTAAATACAGTATTAACTTTAATACAGTATATCTTCTTGTCAAGATATGCAGTGATAACCTGCCTACCAGTCCCCTGATATCATGTTTTTGTAGCCTTGTAAATACATGTACATAAATCAAAGTCTTAATATGAATATTTATTTTAATTTAGGTGCTAGGTTAGCATTGTTTTTCCACAAATATCACAGTAAAACTTTATCAAATGCCCGAACCAACTTAACAAATTCCAGAAATAATACTGTAGGACAGCTGTTCAGTTTTCTGTTGCTTGAATTTCCACGCATACTGCTTATCTCAAGCTTGATAAATTTGATTCATTCAACATCAGTGGGTAAATCGGCCTCAGTTGATACTGCTATTAAGGTCTCTCAATGCAATGCGGCTTTAAGTGAAGGAAATAGGAAAAAAATAAATTGTTCTCCAAGTCTTTCACTTGCTATTGTGCTTTAATTAATATTGCAATGTTGTGCTGCAGATTCATTAGAATACAATTATGCTTTAAAAAAAACAGTCCCCCATTCTGCTACAACATCAATGGTTAGTATCTGAGGCAAAAAAAAGTAAACACCTTTTGAGAGCAGTGATGGGAAGGACATAATGAGCATGAACATAATGAGATGACATTATAACCAATTGGCATTACAGAAAAATGTACAAAACTAAAATCTGTGGAATAAATTAAAACCAAGCCAAACAAAATGGAAGACAAAATGACTGGGTAAAAGAGTCTGAATTGAAAGAGAAGACCTACAGTAAACAAGGATTCTTGTATTGGCACAAAGCTGGCTAACCACAGATGGTTTGAGACGTATGTGGTACCTGTGGGACTGAATTTTATCACTGACTGCTTTGTCTGTGTTCTAATTTGGCATTTGAGCTCTTCTGTCGGCATTCTGAAATTGCAGGGCAAACCAAAGTAGCCGGCTTGTCTATACACAAAGCTCCAAGATCCTGCCTGCTTGAGTTCGGTCTTCGGCACACCCGAAACTCTGCATTTGAAGTAGGATTGGCAGGCGATCCCCCCCACCCACCTAATGTGAAGTGTGAAAGGGAAAAATAATACTAGATCTGCTAAGACTATAGCCAGAAGATTCATACTGTAGAAATACTTCAGAGTTACCTGAATGTTACAGAAACTGTTACATTAGATACAACATTTTATTAAAGCAACTCAATTTAAAGAAGCTGTATGCTGAATATGGCTCTGATTTGTGCTTCGAGAATAATAAGGTGGAGTGATAGCAGATGCAAAATCACTGAACTGGTTGAAAGGATCCTTTCAATACATAATGAAACCTTCCAAGGGCTTCTTACTCAGTTACTGTCTGCTCCAGTAAAGAATACAAGCCAATACTGCCCATTACTCAGTCTGAGACCTGTGTGGATTACAAATCACAGCTAATTCCAGTTTATAAACTCCTCCATCACTGTTTAGTAATGTCTGTCTCTGCAGCCAATGGCTGATGTGTTTCAGAGGTGATGAATGTTTTTAGGATTAATCGCTATTATAATATAATATATATTACTGATATCCTGATTATCTATGTGATAACAGTCCTGAGCAAAATTTTAAATCATCTGAGGAGGAGGACAGGATTCTGATCAATTACTTCTCTACATTCTTATTTGCACTGTTATAGACTAGCTTCCTGTTCTATAATTGACCGAGAGCCAGATTTACTTATCTCAGCCTCTACATAATCATTAACTATAAAACAAGAAAACATGTGTGCTCACCACAAATCATTTAAAAACCTTTGGATTAAGATGAAAAAGAACACATTTTCTAATTGTCAAAATGTTTCCCAAGCATTGTTTGAATACCCAAAAGAGAGCCATACTCTGCATTTTATCTAAAAAGAAACATTCATAATTCCCTACCAAGAGAAATGTAAATGGAAAATAGAACATGAGTGTCTCTTCTTGTTATAAATTGGGAACTTAAGAATGAGAAATTATAATATTTTGGAAAATCAATTACTCTTATTTGAAGATGATCTACCACATACGGCGTTTAGCAAATGCTTTGCATATTTCATCCTATGAATCAGACCATTTTCCATATATACATTGAGCACATTAGAATTTCAGCATTATGCTCAGTCCATGTTTTTTTTTTAATACATAGAACCTTATTTACACCACTCAAAACTTCACATAAGAATGCATTTTTACTCCTAAGGCAGGGCTTTATTTATAAAACTGATGTTCAAGCACATCTTCCAGGTCCAGCATTTATAATACAGTTCCCAATGGAATTTTCAGACAAAAAAAGAAGACTTTGCTCCAAAGCTAAAAAATAAGAAAAGATATGCTTTCAAACATAGAATCCAAATTAACCCGAGAGGATTGGTTGTAGCTTATCCACCAACTCAATACAAGCCTGAACACTTGCTTGGTCCATTATTCTGAGCCCTGAGGCACTGTTTTCCATCACACATTAAAATAATTTTAGTCTCTAATCGTTTTTATATTGGCTGCTAGAGACAAAAACAAACATAACCATGTACCCAACCCAACAAAGATCATAAGCAGCTATTGGTTTTTCTCCTGCCCTTGGTTTATGAATCATTTATGAGCTTTCATCCCTGGTAATTATTCTTGATATTCAAGTGCTCAAACTCTTACTCATTCAGAGACTAAACTTTAAATGGATATGCAGTTTTATGTCATATCAAATGGATAGTAGTGTTACAGGCTTTTAAAGAATCAGTCAAGGAGAGGTTATGCCAATATTATGTACTCTTGGCAGAGAAAATGTCTGCAGAGCTCCAGGCTGTAAACTTGCTCAGGCACATGTGCTAATCCAAGGGGTGTGGCTGATACTCAGAGATCTTTTCTTGCGGTCCTTGCCTTTAGGGTTAGGTGTTGAAGTTTGTCTAGGCATGGAAAATGCATATTCAGGTAGAGATTTGTGGTAGTTTTGCATATCCTTCACAATAAAGACCAGCCATAAAGAGGCAATTTAATGTGTGTAACAGCATCTTAATAAAATTTCGTTTAATGAACAACTACGTTAGTTCACAGTATGCAAAAGCCAAATAGTTTCCTCTGGCACCATACTGCTTTACAGACTTTAAAAGACAAGAATATGCATTGCACTGGTCCGGGGAATGATCTGTAATTGAAAAATTTAAATAGAGTAAATCCAAAATACCTAATAGTGGAAAGTTCCAGAACTTGACAACAGTGAACAGACACTAATCATGGAGAACTGTTTGGATCAGGTGTTATCCTGGCAGGAGGTTTGTTGCTGGATGAAAACAGACGCTTGACCTTCCCAACCTCCTAAATGTACAATGCCTACACTTATCATGCAGTGATTTTCCATGACCCCTCTAACCACCATCTGCCCATCCTTCACCTGCTTGTTTCCACCTTTAGTGGTTTCTAAAGGGAAAAAAATAAAAGGAAGAGTACTGAGCAAAAGGAAGAGTATTGATGCTCCAAGCTTGTGTGGGACATTATGATAATTTGTTATACATCGATTGAGTTCGTTTCCTGTGTGCAATTGTTCCCACTCCTTTAGACAACTTACCACATGGAGACCAGATAACCACTACAAAAAAACACCATCATCCTACCACCAGAATGTAGACCTGTGTCACTGTTTTGATTATTTTCTTCTGGAGACTCGAATTAACATAAGAGCACACATACTAAATAGCATGTTTTTCAAAATACAAGCTTTTGACTCATTGATTAAGAGCTTGTGTTTAGAATAAATGATGGTAGTTTATTTACATCTCCTATAAAGAACTTCACTACTTTAAAACTCTGAACAAATATAATGGGATTAACTTTCTCATCTGGGTAATTTTTATTGTAATTGACTATTCAGATATGACATTGCGTTAATGTCCTTGACTAACTGCCTAACATAAAGGGGTTTTTAAATGTCTATTATGTTGTTAAAATATTGAGAGGAAAAAATAAATACTTGTGTGCTAGCAATTAACGAAACTATCAATGATAAATTGGCATTGTTTCTTAAAGTGTCCTCTTTGCATTTCTATGGAACGGCTGCTCTGCATTTAGTCATTTACCCCCAGTAAATGACAACTAATAGGACAGGAATAAATGTTCTTGATTCCAAAGTCACCACAGGGCAGCTCATTTTCATTATTACATCCTGTTGTGTTGATTGAAGCATGCTTCAGAAGAGAGCATGCTCAGGAGACAAATTCACCTGGGAACATTTCATTCTCTTCCACTGACTTTCAACATGTGCAACTAAATTTAATAAAAACTGGATTTGGTTGTCTGCCTGCATCTATGTCTCCTGTTAAAATCCATTACATGCCAGAAAGAACAACATGAACGTATAGCTTTCACCAAATATCATTACATGTAATACCAGCCGTCCTGAAAGTACAGCTCTTACAAATGGAGTGATCTTAGTCAGAAGTTTAAAATAAAGGGTCTAGCCAGAATCTTGGGGAATTCTCCCAACTATAGCCTGACAAACTACTGTTGCACAAGACGGCTTAACTGGATTTTTCAGATCACCAATATTGAGCTAACCTAGCACCACAATTCTCAAACACTTGGGGGATACCATTATTCTTAACAATTAAAAATCGTCTAGCAATGTAATGTAATATTTTTACCCCCAAAAAAAACCTACAGAACACAAGAGCAGAAAGCAAAAGACTGAAACAGTTTTAAAGATCCGAGCTCTGTAGGTTGATGTCTTTTTTTAATTAATGATAACATAATGTCAACAGAGACAGGAGTGGAGACCTCCAAGACCTACAAGGACAGCCAGGCAGTTACTGTAAAAGGTGCGGGTAGACCAGAAGGTGGCGCTCTTCCTGCTGGCTCAGAATATCCAAACCAATACCGTTGAATAGTGAACAGGAACATTGTGCTGTAAGAGGCACTGACTTCAATAGAGTTATTTACAGTATCTAAGGTCCTTTCTGTTTGTGCATTGGAGATGTAACAGCAATTCGTAAAAGTTAGCACGGTATCCTGGCTAAACCATACTTTCTGGCTTTCCTAAAGCACACCCTTAATTCAATTTTCAAAGCAATTTCTTAGTTTTGTACTTGTTGGATCTGCATAATAGTGAGGCTGCTGGTGCATTATGGCTGCAGATTACGGTTTGTGTCACCCAGGTGGGTGCTACATTGCACTGCGGTAGATGAAGTGGGTTCCCCTAACATGTAACACACTCTGCAACTGCAGTTCACCATTGAAATTATGCAACACATCATTCTGTGCATACTCTGTCCAGCATTCAAGCGCATGAGAAAAAATGCAGGAAAACTCAAATATGCCTGCTTGCCCTTTTCCAATAACTCAGTAAATTTTCTGCATACAATACCTCAGAATGGACGGACACTGCAAATGCCTATGTGACCCAATTCTGATCAGATTCTGAAGCGACGTGACCTCTGGCTTAGACCCAAGCTAAAGGCTGAAGCAAGTGGAGTGCAAACCTGCCTTAACTGGACTGCTTCTGGCTCAGTGGCTGACCCCGATACACGGTTTTGCTCGAAGCACCCACAGCAACAAGCTGAAAGGGCCTGTCCAGCTGTGAAGCCAGTCAGCATGGCAGTCTCACTCAGGATATGGGGCGGGTAAATTATTAACTGGCCTGTGTGTATTTTTTCCCCCAGGCTATGTTGGGTGCAGTTGTTTCCAAAACACTAAAATGTTTTTCAATGTTTACAAAACGGCACGAAATGCAATAAATAATGGATCTTAAAAACATGCAGAAACGTAATTATGAATAAACAATCCAATCCACGAAACGAACAGGCAGCCTGGATTCCAAGCTTTGATCAATACCCCAGGGAGATGGAAGCAATAATGGGGAGGCATACCTGTGACAAGTTCTCTCACTTCGGCATCTACCGTCTTTCTCAGCAGCCGCAGTAACGCAGGGACCCCACCAGCATTCCTCACAGCTATTTTGTTGTCATCGGTGGCTTTTCCATAAACGAGATTCCGCAGTGCTCCACAGGCATTCTTCTGCACCTCAAGGATTTTATGGTCCAAAAGGTCGACCAGGTGCTTGATACCGCCCAGATGACAGACCTGAGAAGGCAGACGTTTCATTTTTAAAGTCAGGCAATGTAAAAGTATTTTCATTTCCACCTGACCTGAAGAAGCAATGAACTGATGCTGGCAGGAATATCCCCACACATTTAAGAAGGAAAGCTTCAAAAGCTTTCATACTGAAAGCTGTTATGACTGAACACACATTTACTGACAGTCATACACCTCAAATTAGATACTGTTCACATCAAATTTGGGATGAAATTGATGGGGTTTTTTTTTTTGGGGGGAGCATTTTCCATAAGCCAGAATCTTTATCCTATACTATTTTCACAACATTTGCTCCAAATCTTATTTAAAAAAAAAAGACATTTAACATTTTACTTTCTATTAGGTTCAGTTTCAAAATGGTAAACCCTTACAAATACGGTCTTAATGTTTTCACAGCTTTGTTATTTATCAGTCACTTGACAGGAAACATTTCACGAGGTCCTGTATTTGAAGTCTGAAAAAAACACTAAGTTCAATATTTCCTTGACATTTTGGTTTCAGAATGAAATGTCCAGCTTTAATTATACTCTACAGTAAATATTCCCTCAGAAATCATCGCAAACTGTGCAGTAGTCACTGCATGATTTTGCCCATGGGTGGCAAAGAAAAAACTAGGACATTCAGCAATATTAATGAAAGGAGCACAAATGCAGTGGCAAGTTAAGAGGCACTCACATCTAAAAGGTCACTTCTATTAGTAAAATATTTGAAGTCTGGAAACACAACACATTTTCCATATTAATTTATTTAAAAATATCTTTAATAAAATGTATTTAGCATAAAATTGAATTTTTGTTGCACTGGAACGTTCAATGTTGGACTCACTCCAGGATTGGAGATTAAGAAAAAAAACATGCTTTCCCGGACAGGAAGATACAGACATGGAAATAGGCTGAATTCAGATGCTGATGAAAACAATAAGAAATTATCTACAGCTAAAGTAAGCCTGTCAACTGCATGTTATCAGTAACCATTCAACTAGAAAATGACTGACTCATAAGAGGGGTGCTTTTTTTTTAATGAGAAAACTCAGAACAAACATTTTTGGTTTAGGATTAGGTGACAGATTTATGTGAATTTTAAAATGAACAGTGAAATAGTGCAGTCTTTGGTTTTAATTCAATTTTAAATCTACTCACATGAATGATGCAATACCTGACCGGACCTCATCACACCAGGAACTTTTTAATGAATAATCTGAATTCTAGCCACAACCAACCCTGATGCAAAACGTGTCACAAGAACTTGGAAGATGCTGTTTAGCACCAAGGTTCACTTTCATTTTATGCAAACTATGTAAGCTAATTATGATCCTGTCCTCAGATCTGAACTGATATGCCATGGAAGGGACACAGAGCAGCAACTGGGCTCCTATCAAAGTGTCTGCAGGTCTGAGAAAGGAACCCCAAACATTAAGGACCTATTCCTAGGTTGCCAGCATGGATTGCTAGGAGTAAATTCCAGCAGCAATGCCAGACCCCTGCTGAGATGTGAAATTCTAGGTTAAATCAAATGGAAAACAAGTAGAAAATGGGAAAAGAGCCTATTGAGAAAGACATTTAATAGTCGAGTGGGGCCACGGCCGTGCTCTACTCCACTGCTTGTTCAGTAATATGCTTGGTACCTCGCTTTTCACTTTATTATCTCCAAAGCACAGGTGCTGCAGGTAAGCCGCTGCGTTGGCCTGAACTGAAGGAAATTGATGTTGCAGCATATGAATCACCTCAGGCAACTCTGGGTCTCGCCAAGCAAACTCCCTAGAACACAACAGGAAAAGGAAAAGCACTCAGACTCAACTTACGACACGCAACACTTTGGGCGTTTAATAAGTTAAATTCCCCGAAGATGGCTGCACAACATCGACACTGATTAAAACATCTTTTCGCCAACGACAATCTTTCTGGGGATTTAGTTCTATTCACGCCAGAAACCCCAAAGCTTTAACGTTGCTACCCCCCGGCCCCTCCCCAGGAGAATTACCATAGCTGTCGGGGTTACATAAAAAAGAAAACCTTTCACAGAAATGCGTCCTCTCAAATCAGCTGCTCACGGTATCATTTTCCTTGCCCATTGAGTTAGACTGCAGACAGCCATTTTCATTAAATTAGAACTAGTAATATGGTTAACATTTTCTAGCACTTCTATCAAAACGTTTTCAAAAAGAACAAGAATGTAGTCAAAATGAAGCATATCAACTGAGTGGAAGATCAACAGCTATCAAGTGTCCAGCAAGACTTTGAGCATGTGTCATCAAATGTCAGAAGACGCTTCTAAAAGAGGGAACTTGAAGGCTAGAAGAATAAAAACGTTAAACTCTGTGCAACCTAGTTTCTTAACTTTATGCACCCTAATATCCAGGCACATGATTGACCTCAACAGGTCACACGTCAGAAAAAAATGCAAAGGCAATAAATTTCCTGGAACACTGGTTCACAGTGGGAACTGTCGTCTGTGCCCTTGCTTCAGCACAAGAGCAGGTGAGCTGGCACATGAGGCAAATGAAAAAGTTTGTTTTAATATAAATTAGCCTAAGGGCTCTGTAGTTGATCACGTCAAAAGTATTATATTCTCCAGTTCCAAAAGGAACTCGAATGTTGCCTTGTGGAATGTTTTTAGCGAGAGCTACAGTACATTTAAAAAAATAGCCATGTTGTTCTTGCATTTTTGCAAGGGCTTTCTCCTGCTTTTTAGTGCACTCACAACCTAGCTGTTGAGTTTGGTGCAATTAATCTCTTACATACAAGGTTAAACATTCTGATACTGTATTCTGATAAGTGGTGGGTCAAATAGATTTTTATATTCTATAGCCCTTCAAGCTATGTAACATCCATCTAAAAAACAGGAATAAAGTATACTAAGCATAAAATCATGTCTCTTATAAGTGTTACAGATTTACAGTGTTATTATCGGGAAAATCGTCTGCAGCAGGTGCACTAACATTTTGTAAAACAGACATGACGTATGCAAATCTATTATGATCATTAACTTTATCAACAGGGAGTCCACGTAAGTTACAAGCTGGTGGCATGTGTGGCCACTGTTGAAAGCCATAAAACTCTACATTAGTAGCTGCTTTGCACCAGGATGCACATAATGTCTGGTGGAATTATGTCTCTTTCCTATAGTAGAGTCTAGATAATTATATGCCTGTTCACTGATCTCTGGTCCCTAGATGCCAGGGTTCATACAATACAATCAATGAGGCTCAGGTCTGGCACAAAGGGCATTAAGACATCACCGTCTCATTCTCATCTTGCATGAAAGTCATTACATGACCAGCACAAGGATGTGTTTTGTCCTGCAGGAAAGTTATGTCCTATAAGCTATAGGACTCGAAGTCCCAGGATTTGCGAGGATGTAGCAGGTACTGTGCAGTCAGACAGCCATCAATCAATGCAAGTAGAGTTCTGAAGCTACAAGAGATCCCACCCAGAGTATATGCCCCCTCGGGTGTACACAACTATTACCACTTCTGGTCCTCATTCACCAATGTCCAACAGGGTGGCTTATAAATAAAACTTGGTTCATTGCTAAAGAGGACTGGGCTCCATTGCTGGCAAGTTATCCTGAGGTTGGGTTATATTGATCCCTTTCTGTGTAGTTTCTTTATTTGTCACCAGTCTTGACATTCAACAGTTTAAAGCAACTTATCAAAATAAAGTGATTTGCAACAATCAACGTAACTTGGATATATCATGCTCAGTCCTGTATGATCTATTAAACAAAATGAAGCCAAAAACATTTAAATAAATAAGAATTTACATACTTTTACTCTAAAAACATCCATTCAGACAAAGACAAGCTTCTTTTACTGTTTAGTACAGACAGTACTCAGAGATGCAACTAAAAAACAGAAATAAGGAAAAGCCAGAGTGTTTTGCAAGCGTTACCTGGGGTCTTTCTGAATGCTGTCTATGGACGGTGACCTTGTTGTGCCATCATCCACAGGAACAGCCTGTCTGGAATAACCAGATTCAGAGGGTCTGTACTGTGCTGTTCGGTAGGGCTCTGCATAGGTGGCTGTTGTGTTCAGGGCATAGTTGCTTCTTTGGTATGTCATCGCACTGCGCTGACTGGAGGTCCTTTGTAGATTTCCAGCACCTAGTTTCAACAATGAAAACACATCATATCTAGACCAGAATCACATAATAGGTTTTAAAATATTGAGCGCGCTTTCACAACATATTCACTGACGGACAGGCTACATTTTCTGCAGAATTTTCCCCCATATTGTTGCTTCTGGAAACCGTTTTCTACTTTTTTTCCCAGTTACTTAGAATATTCAACGAAAGCTTTCACTTTAAAGATTGAGTTCAGGCGAAAGAAAATATAATTGCTAGGATTTCACTATAAAAAAACAGGTGGTCATGTAAAGTAATGTCAATAATTTTTCAGACAGATTTATAAGGATTTAACTCTCAAGCATTTATGTGTTCCCATTTAAAGGGTTAAGGAATGAACCCTCCAATCTGAAACTTGATGGAACTCCACAGAGACCAAGGTCTCTACTGAAGTGGAAAATTCTCTCGTCTCAGATTTGTCACTTTGAGAAGCTCCAATGCAGATACACTAGAAATTGCTTTTGTGGATGCAAAAAACCCTTACTGGGAAATTTAAGTTGAATGAAAAGCCCTAAAAGTAATAAAAATAAAGAAATAAAATTAATAGGTAGGTCTTTTAAACTGAGAGGTAAGTTTTGTACACATCACCCTTCTTTTTTCAAATTAAAATTTTGATAATCAGTGCTTACACAATATGTTACACCAAATGCCTCCTCATGCAGATTTGCTCAGCAAACATCAAAGCTGTTCTGAATTATCTGTATAATCCCATACTCCCAGAGGAAAAACATCAATAGAAATGAACATTTGTGAACACGAAACTAAAACAAAAGAATGTCAACTTGATGCTAGATTTTTAAAATCAAATTTCCCACATGGCTGCACATTTGTGGTTTGCTGTTAATAGTTTAGATTTGGGATATAATGAACATCTACAGGCAATGAACAGGTCATAATGCTGACTGAACTAAACTAAGTTATACTTAAGACAAAGCTATCAATAATATTGAGATTATTGAAAGTGACAGTAACCTAAATTGGTTGAAAATGAACTCACTTACAAAGCTTTTCCAACTTATATAATAATTAATCCACATAAATATTATCCGAGACTTTCGGTAATTTAGAATTTTGTCCTAAAATAAAAGGTAATCTAGATATTTAAAGATTGACATTTTATGATTTATTAATATCTTTACACGAGAGCTCTGAAAAGATTTCAGACTAGCAGTAGACAGTGGGGATGGCGGTGAAAACAGCTATCAAAATTTTATTTCAAAGCAGAACAAAAAAAGCTCAAGGATCACAATAGGTTCTTTCTAACGAAGAATGTTTTCTAAGGTTAAAAAAAACAGCGTTCTTTCAAAATAGACGAGAGTAAACACATTACAGGCCCTTATCAACCAGGGCTCCTCAATGCATCAATACAATTTATTACCGGACTTATCGGACTGAAAAGATCTCATGTCTGTGGCGTAATCTGCAGAGAGAGGCTACAATGAGTGTCTGCTGGAGGCAGAGAGCAATGTGGACTGAATTTTAAAATTTTAAAGGATTCCCAAGTTGCTATCTAGTTACTCCTTCCTCTCTCCCACCTCTGTGTTTCTAGTTATAACTGTGGTACCTGGGTAATTTAATGCATTTTCTGTTTTAGTATTTTCTTGGTGTCTGTCCCTCCAATTTGCTCACCCCACCTGACCTGCTGATGATTTTAAGTGGATTACTGAAGTTACTGGCACTGCTGATCGCAACAGATTCTTCATGCCTGACCACGATGCAGAATGATAAGCAAAGGTCTATTACCTGAGCTGGGCCTGTAGACTGCAGTCTGCGTTCCATGGTGAAGCTCCACTGTGCCGTGATTTGGGCTGCGGTACAGAGGGCTCTGAAAAGTCCTCCCCTCATAGATGGGTGTAATATGCAAATCCGGAGACATAGCGGATCGGAGATCTTGTCCCAGCTGACTGTGCTGACTGGCATAGGAGCTCCGTAATCCTGAAAGCAGTATAAAGTTCTTCTTAAATAAAGATCACTATTAGTCCACTTCATGTGACCTTTCGATGACGGCACTGTGCTAAATTTAGATGAATGAAAAGCAACTATTTCGATTAAAAAATATCAAAGGCTCTTTAAAAGTCACATTCTCTTGTGGTAGATGACAAAATAAATTTGAATTTACTCATAAAGACCTCATTGGAGGTTTATATTACAGGAAGCTGCTGCTTATCAACCCTTAACGCCTGTAGTCTTTTCCATTCTATTTTAAGAACAATGACATGGGGTTATTTGCTCTTATCATGTTAAAATCTTTTCCAGTTTCCAAATGCGCAACGCATTTAACGACAATCGCAAATTTACACTTCATCTTACAAAAATATCCAAATAAAATAAAGATAGAAAAGAGGAATCAACTCAACCTACAGTGGAGTTGGAGCAGAATTGCAGTGCATGAGCTTTTCGTCAAGTGTTGACTAACCACGCCTCAAGCAGCGTGGACAGACTTGTGGATGCATGCCTGTGCCTCGCGTGGGTTAATAGGTTTTCCTTACGAGGAATTATGTGGGCCTGCTGAACAAGTTCAGGCAACAGACGGAGTATAACAGTGTGTGCTAGAAAATGCAAGTCTTTATTGTAACCATTGTGCCCTACCAGAGCATAAAGCTTCTTTATTATTGCCAAAGATGAATCTGGAGATCGCAGTAGTCATGAAGCTTAAAAGCTATGCTAAATCATGCAGTTATGCACATGAGAAAATTAGATGATCATTTATTTATCTGGTGCTTTATAAAGCTGAGGCTCAAACAAGCTGACATTTGTTTCTGCTTAAGCTTTCTGTGTCCATGGCTTTTTTATATCCCTTTTGATGAAACAAATACACAGTCCAGTTCTAGTGTTATACTGTATATACAGTACATATATAAAAGTATAACCGCAAAGGAACAAGTAATAGGTTCCATGCTGAATAGAGAGGAAAGAAACACAATGTTTCAGCCGTGGAGACTTCATCAGGTGTAAGAAAGACAGGGCAGTAAGCAAAGCTTACACAGTTCAGTTCTAGTGTTATATATACAGATATAAAAGAGAAGAGAGAAAACGCAATGTTACGGCCGTGGAGCCTTCTACAGGTGGCTCCACGGTCGAAACATTGTGTTTTTTCTCCTCTTTTCAGCATGGAATAAACCTATTACTTGTTCCTTTGTAGCCCACGCATGCTGATGCAGCTACCCACCTGAACTACTAAAACCATAACCTACTAATAAATTTTCTGAACATAGGTCTCTAGGCCGTCAGTGTCACAGCGCCCCCTGTGGTCTTTCAGGAATACACTGCTGTTAGTGATGGATTCACTTCTGTGCTAAACCTCCAAAATGGGGTGGGTCTAAAAAATAATTTGGCAATTCTAAAATTGCAAAAAAAAATCCTTAAAGATTTATCAACATCTCTGATAAAAAGGGAAGAGACAGAAAATTAGGGTTCTGTAAACAACAAATGGAACATGTTTTCAACCATGAGCCTTTAGTGTACTTTTTATATAAAATGTTTCTTCTTTAATAATTGACTCCATGAATGTTTCTTCTCTTTTGTAAACTGACCAGTTTTTCCCTTTTTTTGTCCGAGACAAAGTAAACATGCTGAATATCCTTCTGTGCAGAAGAAATATCAGATAGAAACCGAAAAACACAACCTTAATAAGAACTTGAAAACACCTTGGATTATCGTTCTTAAGAACAACAGACAGCAACCTTTTATCTAGAAGGAAAACCAGACGGTTTTCATATCTATAAAAAGCCTGGAACCTATTTGTAACACTGTTCAACACTGTTTTTGAATGGCTGTGACATCTGGGATATACACCCAGAGGGCTTTATAAGCACTGGGTGGTGTTAACAGCGCCAAAGGCAAACCAAGCTGATTTTGCTGTTTTGTGAAAATGGACACAAGTCTTTCTAACACAAATAAAGGACATTTCCATGTTTGTTGATAGCCCAACACATGTAACAGTTTATTCACACCCAAAGATGAGCAACTCGCAAGAGAAACAGCTGCCCTGCAACGGCCACCACTGCGACAATAGCAGCTACTGCTCTGAAAAATCCACAAAGAGGATTTCTCACTGCAGTGTCAACTTCTATACGGATCTAAAGATGCACAGGCAACATCACCAGGAAATACTGAGCATGTGGTGCCATTCTGTGAATGGCTGAAGCAACAGAAACTGCTCTTGTGGCAGATATCATCATTTGAAACGATGAAAAGGAAATTTCCATTTGACTATGGAACATGCATTCTGACCCCAGTGACATGGTGCAGTTTATCACAATAGCTGTTAGCGGGCTGGATTGGTTTTTCAGGAAACGCCGAAGGGAGGACATCCTTTCATCACACCTCAATAATCCTCACTTGTCTTCCTCTACTGTATGAATTTTGTCGTGATGGTGATCCTGAACACTACCCTGTCACTTGTTGCATTAATGCCAACTGGATATTCAGGCTGAGTAAAAGTATATCTGAAACAACATGGAGCAGGCCTTGTCCAAAACCCCGAAATCATGCAACTTTTTCTTGCAATTGTTACTTTATTATATAGAGCTTGTCTATATAATGAGACATGAATGTTTAACAACCTGCAATAAAACCAGCAGGTTTTTCCAACAGACATCAAATGGCATGATAGGACTGAACTACTAGGTCAGCTGTATTTTACTCTATATCCCTCATATACTGCTTAATAAACAATGAATTATGTGTGAAACTGTGAATTTTGTCGCTTTGCTACCCTCTTAACAGTTACACTGCAGAGAGAGTTATCTAACCAATACAAAACAGAGCCTTTGAATTTTTTCTACCATATAAAGTGACTGTCTCCAGCTATTTGCATTTATTTATTACGAAAAGCTTAAACTGGATGGAAATGAGCAGCAGGGATTTACAGATGTGAAATCAACTTCAAATTCTTATTAAAGCTGAAGCTTGAAGTAGGTCATCCCCTTTCAAAACAAGCTTGTGATTAGGTCAAATGGTCAGGGAAAAAGACACATTCATGCTTTTCTAAACAAACTCTGCTAAGCCAAATGTGAAAGCAAAAAACACACTGCCAGACACACACACATACACAGGGGTGTTGATTAGGGTTACCAGTTTAGGGCAATTTAAAATGGGCACACAAAATGTGTATCACGAGTTACTAAGCAGACAAGAAGTACAGAATAACAACCACTTTTGATCTAATAAGGGGGAACCATAGCAGCAAAGCAACCATAAGTTAGTGTAAGCTTTTCAAATCCACTTGCAGTTCTTCAAATTGGGCACTGATGAACAGTTAACATGCTGTCCAAAGAAAATAAGGCAGGTCAGCAAAAAAATCTGGGAAGAGGGGTAAGATCAATTAAGGGGGTCACCTTGTACCGCATCTACCAGTAGTTCTGAAGATTTCCAAAGGCCGCAAAAAAGAAACACAAAAATCACATAAATTACAACTCAAGGAAAGAAACCTCATGAGAGACTCCTTAAGTATTCAGGAAAATGCAATTTAAATCCTGTTGGCGAACAGAAATTAACATAATGAACCCCGGTTTTTGAACACACATGCATTATTTTTGTATTGGCAACATTAATCAGTGCAATTATACAGCTTTATAATTATAAAAACTGTGAAATTAAAACAAATTCTGAGAAGGCAAAATAGCATATCCATTAAGGGAGTATGTATTGACTGACTTGTCCTCATGTTCCAATTACAATATTTCTCATTGTCCGCACACACAATGATTATTTTCCATTTAATTCCCCCCTCCCCAGTACCAATTCCTTTCATATTCTATTGTGCCAGATACTTCAAAGCACAAAATGATTAGTTCTCAAGTTCCACGGAAAGAAGCAAATGAATATAGGCTGACCCATTAATGCTACTACAGTGATAAATTGCTGGCTCACAACAGCAGCAAACGTTTTTCATCTTCTTCCAATACTAAAGCACTGTGGTGGTGGCTTGCTCAAGTATAAAAACCCAACTATCTAATAACATCTTCTGTTTTTAATGCCTACTAGATTCTTTATTGAGCAAAATATAGAAGTCGGGAGGCAGGCTAGAACAAATTCCCACACAAAGTGAAGTTGATTAACTTCGTTTCCCCCAACGATTGACTGAATCTGACATTAAGGTGATACTGAAGAATTATTTTACGCAAGTACGCTTGAAATAATCTCTCCTTGACGTGTAGCTTGCTTAGGCTCCCCAATGTGAATGCGAACAAAAATTAAAGGTAATGCTGAGGAAAATGTGATAGCATTACAATTGAAGACTCTCAGCTCATATCAAACCCCTATCATTTGACGTGCTGTCAGACATTACCGATTCAAGACTGAAACAATAAGGGGATATGAAAATAAAATAGCATTTCTCCTTCCACACAGAAAGAATGATTCAATGTGTAATGACTAGACTGACATTGTGGAATAAAATACAGAACTGACAAAAGGTGATTAAATCCAAATTCATGCTAGGAATACATTATATAACTGTATTGAAGACTGCGTAAAAAGCTAGGAACAGAGTTTTTATAGCTTCGATTTCACAAAACAAAATTAACTTCATCGCTACATTAAGTTCCACCACTTCAAATTTCAAGAACCACTTATCCGATTCAGGGTCAATTCAAGTACTGGGCGCCAGGTTGGATACACCCTGGATGGGACACCAGTCCATTGCAGGGCACACACAGGCACAAATACACACAAGATCACGGCAGGGCCAATTTTACAGGAGCCAGAAGGAAACCCATGTGAGCCCAGGAAAAACATGCAAACTCCATGCCAGCACTCCAGCAGTTGAACCCCCAGGGCAGCAATGATAACCACTGTAGCACCATACCGCCCCTGTACAGTAATTATACACCGTAATATTTTAAACAGCCTAAACTCACAAGAATCAGAAATGAGAGGCTTTTAGCTTGTGACATTGCACAAAACTGCCTTATTAAGCCACATATATATATAACAAAACAAACTGAATAATTGATCACTTTTCCGAGTCTCCATGTGCTTTATGAAACATTTATTTTTTCCCCCCCAAAGCTAGCTAACCTCAAGAAGAATATGGTTTTATTAATTAAAATCCTGCCTTAGAAACTGACTGGGGGACAGCAGGAAAAAAAAGCTCTTTTGTTTATTATCAAGATCATATGCCAGAAGCTCCATAACTCTCCCTCTCCTTTTGAGAGGCTGATGTTTATTACATCGCTCTACATCAGAGAAGCTGGCCAGCCTTCACGTCAAAGTAAAATAATCCATATATCTGCCTTTTCCTCAAAAAGCATGACATGCACTCTTATACCTGCCAGTATAAACGACTGAAAAGGTAAAATGAAAAAAACACCCATTTGCTTGATTTGAAAACAGTATTTTTCCATGACTATACTCCATGAGCCCTTTTATGACAGATATTGCAACAGTGACTCATTTCTCGATCTGCCGCCTCGCTGTTCAGGCCACCTGTGGAAATGCCCTTCAGCTGCAATGTAATACAGCCGAGAGCAGCTCGAGGAGATTCCTCAGAGCCTTTCTTTCTACTGCCGGGCAAAACAAATGAAGCTGGCAGTTAAAGTCCTTTACACCCAGCCCTCCAGCGGTCCGGGTGGTTTGTGGGGGAATGAGAGAATCAACAGAGTGTGAGCTTGAAGAGGCTCTGAGCCGGTCGGACGACCCACCCAGTGCCCCCCCGCATCGTCTTTCTTCGAACCACCAACCTGTGAGGCTGTCTGGACGCGGAGGGATCATCCTCTCGTAGATGTCGTACGACTGCTGCCCGTACGGATCGGGGTCGTGATGGAGCGTTCTTTGCAAAGTGGACCCATAGTGCTGTGGGACCGCGGTCATGCTGGAGCGAACCGGGGAATTGGAGCTGCTCGGCTGGGGGTGCGAGGGGGAGCCTACCCTCGTCTGAGCGTCCACCAGCGTCAGAGGGGAGCCCATTCGGGCGGAATTCCCCAGGACCTGGTACGGCGAGGTGCCCCGGCTGGCGTTCGCGGACTGCCGGGAGTTCGTGGAGCCCACCCTCCGCACTGCAGCCGGGGAGCCGGTCTTCTGGGCGGCGAAAGGGGAGCCGGGGCTCTGCGAGGGGGGGAGTGTGGTGGCTGAAAACACGTTGGCGAGGGGCTTGGGCTCAGCGGCCGCTGGGGAGCCGTAACCACTGCCCAGGGAAGTCCTCAAGGACCCTCGGGACGGCGAGATGCTGCTGCCGTAGGCTGGGGACTGGGTGCGTGACGGCACAGAGCTCACTCTCCTCATCACCCGTGCAGACGCAGGAGCAATGTTCACAGGCGCCTGAAGCAGAAGAGGTCAAAGAGAAACAAAACACACGTGTCAGCAGACTGTATATTGAACAATAGGTAAGAGGTGTACTATAATTGGCCCCTGAAAGAGTTAACTAGCAGAAAAACAGGATTCTTTTAAAATCTTTATTTTGGCGGACCGAGTTTAATTACACAACAGTATTTTCTGACGTCTTAGTTGCTTTTGAATATGCAGAAAAACCTAAATATCAGTTGCATAGCACAGCTCACAATTTTGTCAGTACCTGGACTAAGGTCTGTCCTTCTGCTCTTGTGCTTCTCATCAGAGTGGAGCTACTCGAGGTCCCAGGGAAGGAATGCTGCAGCCTGAGCTCTGGCTTCACCAGATTCTGGCTGCTGTAGTAACTGCTGGTTTCCTGGTAACCACTATCGGAGTACGAGTTCATCTGCGTTGAACTATGCGAATTTCCCACAGACCCTGGAACACAGTAAAAAAACATGACAAAAGTCACATAACCAGCCAGTGTAGTTTGGAAGCTTTATGCAAAGAACACATATATAACACAAAGCCTTAATCAAGGATATATTAACAGACCCTCACTTTCATGGAGAGAAGCCTGTTCGGGTGAGTAGAGTGTCACTTGTTCCTGTTCGGTTCTGATTCTGTAGGACGTGGACTGAGAGGGTTCAGTCACGCGAGATTTGGTCCCTCCTGCTCCTGGGGCATCTTGGGAAATAGAATGCAAACAGAAAAGGCTTATTATTACATAGAAAATAGCATCGGTACATTTGCTCTTAAAACTACAATTCTCCTACTTCAGCTGGAATACACAACTTACAAATGAGATCAAGAAAGTCAGAGCCTGTTTGTGTTGGAGCCTGCTACTTAGGAATTGAGTTCAGCTATAAGAGATTTACTCCACCTAGATTTAAAGGAAACCAAACAAGAACTCAATAAATTCTGAAACTGATCAGTCAATAAATTTGCATGCAGCTAATCCTATTAAGCTGATTGTAATGGAATGATTTGAGCCAAAAAAAACATCACTACAACCCAGACTGGAAATAATGGATTCTGTGGCACACAAATCATCTCTGTGCTAAAGCTGTTTATTTAGTGTCGACACTGGCCTAGTCTGCTGTCAGCCTAATGCTTGTGCTCCATCTGTAAGTATCTCAGCAACATGGTTCATTGCCAGGGGGTACCTGTGACACACTGGCTGAGAGATGAGGAAAATCCAGGGACTGCTTTAAAAACATGAATGAATAAAACAAAATAGATATTTTTACACAAACACCTGAGTATATGAACCCTAAGTCAGCAGCTGCATTAGTCAATTGGTACAATATGTGGCTGTTGTAGCTACTTATACTCAAAAATAAATGTAACATGGGAAAATCCACCACATTACATTCATTTAGTCTGGAAGCAAGCCATATACATTTTATGGAGTTGTGAAGGTTTTGAAAAGTTTGTTCCATCTCGAAGGAAAGCTTTCTTTTTTCTTTTTGAAAGGTAATTAAAGAGTCATCATGAATGAGGAAGATCCACCAGTTCTTTCGCAATAAAAATGGCACTATAACATACTTAATTGTGTTTAACAGCATAGTATGTACCTTCTAATACAAAAGGACATTTCGAAACCCAAATCATTTAGTTTCTTTAATGCTCAGATTGTTGTGTCTTTCTTGAGAACTGTTTAATACATTTTCTGTTTAATCAATTAAAAGTAACTACCACTTTAGCTCTAGATGCAAATAAAATCTTTTAGACAGGAAGCAATTGGATACTAAAACATATAATTGTCAGCTACAAGCTGAATAAAATAATAGAGCACTAACTCTACCAATTAGGAGAACTACAATGAATCACTGTTATTTTTCCTTCTTCACAATATAAATAGTAACATGTAAACTGTAAGAGGTCTGTCTTATCAAGGGGCTATTTACAATGACATTTGATTCCTAAAATCACATGAGGATGCTACAGTCCTTCTGACTGCCAATTGTGCTGTCTATGTTGTTTGCCGTCCTCAACACTGAATTCTACGTTTTTATCCCTTACAAACGTTTTACTCCTCAACCACAGTCTATGAGTTACACTTGACATCCTGGAAAAAGATCTCACGGGATTTTCACACTTTACAAATAATTGCACTTAATGCAAGTATGCTTTAATAAAATTAAATGAAAAACATTTAGCATAAAAATTGGTAACTATCTTCTGTTTTTTAAGACCTTGATATTTTTCCTTTTCTCCTTTCAAAAATTCTACTTAGAAAAAAAATAGTATAGTGAGAATGTTAGAGAGCTGAATATGAACTGCAAAGCTTTGCCAGTGTCAACTAAACAGACAGCTGGTTTTTTAAATACATATGAATTGTACAGTAAATACCTTTGGAACCGACTGGTTTCTTCTACCAGACATATGTTTAACTTTCTAATCTTGAATATTCAGTTCCAGTTCTTAGTAAACCAATTAGGATCCAACCTGTGTTGTTCTCCAGGTTCTTCAATTCAAGACTATGTTATCTAGTAAAGACGTACTCATCTAACTGCTTAAGGTCCCATGCTTAATTTATAGCATTTACTGCATGTATAAATAATTTTCATGTTTTAGGATTAAAACTTGAATGGACATCTATCGAGAGTCTTCATTATTCTAAACAGAACCTTTTCATATGTTTCACAAACCAGGAATTTATTCTTAGCTAATTAAGGCATGCAATCAGTCAGGCAAAAATGCAAATTTTTACATCTATGCTTGGTTTAATTAAAACCATTTTGCATATTAATGACAGTGGTCTTTTGATGAGGCAAAAACGGAAAAGGATGGACTTTTGAATAAATGTGGTACTATAACCCTATTTTTAGCATGAGATTCAAGGTCTATTTAAGTATTTTAATCTTCGCTGTATTATCAAAGATTCAAGAAATTTCGCCCTGCTTCATTTTTCTCTTAATCATTAGTTTCGGTAATTCAGTGTCTGGGGTTTCCAGATATTGCCTGTAGTGAGAGAATCAATCTTCAACGTCTGAAACATCAAATTGCAGACTGTAGCAGTTGTACCTCCTGATCTCCAGGGGAAGGACTTCTCAGATGAGCTGTTGGGGAAAAAAAAAGAAAAATTAGCAAAAAATACTGATAACATCAGTAGATACACAAAAGTAAAAAGATGAGGCTGTATATAATAGCATTTATAGATTAATGCTTAACAAATGCCTACCCTAACGTAGGACAGGGCAAATCTCGGGTTAGCTCTATTTTTAAAAGCTACCCAAGTTACACAACAGTTCAATTAATCTAGTATGTCCTCAACATAAGATCTCCAACTGTTTGTCCTTACGCGTTTTCAATTTAAATGCCATTGTGTTACCAAACTGTCAAGGTAGAACCTTTATTCACAGTTATTTCTGATGTAGCTGCAGTGTAAAATCACTAATAGGCTGTACATATCAATGGTAATAATGGCTGTAGAGCACAATAGCCTGTAATCCAAGATGTTCTTGAACATGTTTGCTCACTTCTCCAACACTACAGGTTTTAGAAACTGCATCACCTTATCACCACTGTATAAACTTAGCACAAAATATTCCTTATAACAAAAGCAAAACCATATTTTTCTTCAGACAGTATAAAATCCTGCTTTGAGGCATTATAGCAATTCATAGTTTTCTACGCATTTTAATATTTAGCTTTTTACTCCCAGGCTTAATTATGTTCTGGTTATTGATTAAAAAATATACAAATAAATGGTGAGATCAGCAAAGGAAATTCATCCGCCCCTGAGTGGACTGAGCTAGCAAATAACATACAAAACATATCGATCTTGTGTTGCCATTCCCAAACAAGGCTTGGAAAAAAAACAGCAAAGAGTAAGAAACATTTTGAAGAACTGAAAAACAAGCAGGACAGAGCCTCTGACAACTGGACAGCATGATCAGAAATGCTCTTATTTGGATGCCAAAATTCCAAATTCCCTTTTTGAACCTTTGCACAATACACTAAACAACTGCATTAAATCATACCTAAACACTGGCCAGCTAAGAATAATAATTAATAATAATGCACTTTAAAAGAAAATTCAAAACATGGCTGGGTTAGCAAATTGTTGTCTTCCTGGTACACTGTGTGAAAGTAAATATATAAATAGCATGATTGATTCCTGGGTCAGCAGTCTGTGCTCTTGGAGATGTTGCACAAAGCTTGAACGGTTGTCAGAGGAACACGAAGTGAACACTTCCAGAGACAGCCTGCAGAAACGCTGAGGTAAGAGATGATCAGAGACTTTATTGATGGACCTATTTAAAACTATGTCACAGTGGTCTGTAGAAAAGAATTCCGATTCTTATTCCTTCAGAAGGTAGACATGCCAGCAACATTCCATCTATCAAGCAGGCAATAGTAAAAATAAAAAAAAAGATCAATGCTACAGACCTGGAATTTTCCTCCCTCAGAGAGGATCAGAATTGCAGCATGTAGCATTTCATAAGAACAGATTTTAAAGACGGGTTACAATGAGAACAACATCACAACTCACAATACTAAGGAGATTAAACAAAAAACAGTCTCATACAGATAGAAAGGACTATAAAAGACAGAGAGGAAATAATTTAAATATACTTTTAGAACATCTGACTAAGGAAAACATCCTCTCTTTTATCCCCAAGGTTATGACTATAAAGGCAGCACACAATGCTACAAAATGTAGATATAAAGACTTACTTTATGCTTTTAGAAAAATAAATGATTCAAGGAAAATATTTTGTGTCCTGCTGATATATAATTGATGCTTCTACTTGCCTCTTCTACCTTAACATCAGAGGACATCTAAGGAAATGTGTTGACAGAAATAAAGGACCATGATCAGAATGTAAATGAGATGAAAGCAATTAAAAAGGATGCTTGAAGAACTGTGCTCCAGTCATCTGTTCCAATTTCGTTCTATTTCTGTATATATTCACAACTGCTGTTCAAAGAAGTGGCCACAGATCTTGAGGGTGTCAAAAGTGCAGATGGTTTGCACAAATTTAAGATGCTCTAGTTCAGGGTGATATTAATATACAAATATTCATTGACGTGGTTGTCTCTGAGAAGATGAGATTTTGAAAAAAGAGGAGACCTTTTCCTGACCCAAGCTTTTGGTCATTCAAGAAATGTAATCTCTAGGGAATTGCTAAATGATTAAAAAAATAACCAAAATAAAGAAATATATAGGGGTATGTAATAGAATGTAGTGGCCTCATCACACATTTACTTTGGTGCTGCTTCCATTCTCAGTAAGATGAGCTATTGAGCTGAACAGTTTGCACAACAGTCTGGCAGCTGCATTTATACCCAAATGCTGTGGCTAGCAGTTTCCTTTTCTACCCAAACTTTTAAGGTGATGGAACGACTGTGTGCCCTTTACATAACATTGCTGAATGCGATACCCCAAGAGGAATATGCCCTAGCATCCACAAGACGCCCTTCTGTCCCTTAAACTATGCCAGTCTGCAGCTGCAGAAAAACCAAGAAAGGTCATTCAAGGCTGGTAGAGGATTCCTTTAATAATTATGTCTGGCTGACAGCAGGATGTGGTTAATTGCAATTGCCTATACTGAAAAGTATTTCAATTAGACATGCAATTATCATTAAAGAAAAAGGTGATTAAATTACTTGGATATTAAATGCGGAATATTCTAAATCCCCATAATTCCTCATTTCAGCTCATTAAGTGAAAAAACATACAGTAAGTGGCCCCATATTTCTGCAATGTAAAAATAAGTTTGAAGACTCTGGAAAATTTTAATTTTCCAGAGATTTTAGAGACGTTTTCTTCACTTCAACCCACCAACTTTGCCACCTACCCATCAGCTATCCCTAAAATATACACAAAACTCCTTTACATCTGTCTCAGCAAAGGACAAGTGCTTCAAACAATTCTAATTTGAGTGTGAGGATTCACATACTTTCAACACCTTTCCTTACAAACTGTGAACATGGACATTTTCAATATTTAAATTGCCAGTTACTCATTAAAATAAAGTTATCACACCACAAAAGTTGACATTTCTAACAGTTTACCAAAAATGCACTGAAATACGAAAAAAATACTTTGCCAAAGAACATTATAATCTCATTTAACTTGAAATCCTGACCGACAGGTAGTGACTGCAATTGACAGTGTAGGTGGGAATCTGAAATGTTAAACTTTCTAAAATTTCAGCTAGTTAGTAGCTACTGTACCATTATACAATATTTTTTCACTGTGCAATGAGGTACCACTATACAAGTAGCAACTGGGAATTAGCTTGATGGACTAACATCCCATTTGAGGGGAGTCTTGTACTCTCAGCTTGCATAATTCTACAGTATCTGGGATAAGCCCTAGATCTATAAGCTCCTTAGACTATTGAAGGACTTACCTATATATAAACACTACATACATGTAACTCCATTGTATTGTATACTGAGCAGTATTAAAAACATAAATGCTTGTTTGTTCCTGTACTAATTTGTTGGATTTTAGTGCTTCTAAGCACATTTCTAATGTGCATTTAAACAGCCCCACTGTTTTACTATTGCACTAACCTGTATCACATTTTTGTAGTCTATGAACATTGCTCTGGATAAATAGCAAGATGCTAAGCATCTGCTAAGCTAAAACAAAAATGTTTTTTTCTCAGGGATACCTCTGAGGAAGAAATAGATAGGGATGATTTTAAATGTGACGCATTTTGTAAAAGCAACATACTATGGATTTGGAGCCCATTACCTTTCTGAGGCATTTCAGAACTTTCCTCACAGCCCTTTTGATTAATGGGAAGGAAATGATTCTATATTCCCTACCAAATGAACCACAGCATTTTTCATTTCTTCTGAAATAAATCTCACGTAGAACAACCAAACTCATTCCACCACAGAAAGGGGGTATAAATGCAAGCCAGGCCTCCAGAGAGGACAAACAGGAAAGCCCAAGAACTAACCACCCAACCTGCGTTTCAAGCTGGTGGTCTTAATTCTTATCTGCTTTTGCTCCATTACTCCAGGTCTCGGCATTCAGCTTTCATTCCATTTTCTTTTTAGCTGAAAGTTGCAAAAGCTATAAAGGAACACATTCATAATAGCTTTCGAAAGGTGTTTTTATTCTGGAAAGCAACATAGTAGATTGCAAGAAATAAACGACAATGAGCTGTGTCAAGCTCCTATACAAAACCTCATAAACCTTATTCCAATTAACTTGGCTGATCTATAGTAACAATAGCAATCTGAAGGTTCAACATCCAAATTTGGCTTTCAAAAGCAGCAACAAAAGATTAAGCAATCAAGCTTAGTGATTCACATAATCCTACATAACCAGAGCCGTCACCCAAAAAGCAAAAGTGCTAATTAGTTGGTTACTTCAGACTGTCTGATCCAGAGATACGGATTTCAGTTTTAATTCTGCAAACCACTGATAAATCTTTTCTACCACCTGACATGACTTGCTCATCTTAAGGGCTGAAATTTCACTTCTGGGAAGAAAAATCCACCCAAATATTTGAGTTACATGGTGAAATCTTCAAAAGTATACTCACTTAGCGTTTCTAAAAAAATTCGAACACGTTTTCCATAGAAAATACCCCATGTCTTTACTCAATGAGACCCTTATAGCAGATGTGGCAACAACACCTCTTTCTACCTATAAGAATACTATCCTGATGGACTGGCTCGTTGGGCACATAGCAAAAATGACCTGAGCATTGCAAAGCTATTACTGGTCCTTGAAACCTGCAGTATGAAACATGCAGCATTATGTCATCGCAGTCAGTATATTTTACATCAACCAAGCAGAGGAAAATAAAAATGGAAAAAAAGACACCAGGGGAGTCTGAGGAAAAGGACTCGAAACCACATTACTGACAGCAGGGGGGGAAAAAGCACAGCAATTCAAAATTAATGTTTCTTAATATGAATTAATGGAGCTTCAATTTGACAGATTTTTTGTACAGAGAGGAATCAATGAAGCATGGAAAAGAAAGGAGACTCCCTGTACAGAGGGAGGAAAAAACATTCACTAACTACCAGGGCTGCTTCTGCAGTTGCATAAAAAATACGACATCATGACATGCCAATACTTTGGCAAATTAAACATTGTCATTTTTCTGTGTATGTAAAAGGACAATGCTTTCTGACGTGTTATCATGGCTGTTTTGGCGAGTGAGCTGAGATTTCTCTTCGGTTTCTACTGGGAGTATAGGATAGTAACTGGCCTGTACCTGACACTGGCAATGCTAGGCGACTCTGCCCCCAGTCGGCATCTTTCCAGCTGACTAGCAACAATCTGTCGTTCCACCTCCAACTCCCTGGTCAGGCGTTCAAACTGGAGCTCCTGTGACGGATAAGAAAGAGATAAGGGAGACGTGAGAAGTGTTACAACTACTGTTGCATCCAAAACAAATCCACTGTTTTAGGAAACTGTTCAAAGTCTCGTGTTATACTGCCAGGCTTAACACCGGTTAAGCGGTGTCATTTTTAAAGAGAAGCACAAAAGCAACATTGATGTATCACTTTAACTTCCCCTCTACTTGTTTTTTTTTTCTCAGAAAGTTGACAGGTAGCATCCCCTTCCCTCCCCTTACAAAGACAGCTCCTGCTACTGGAAGGCAGTATTACAAGAAATCCCTCAAATCGGCCTAAGTAAAAAAAACGAACCTTGCTTTCTCAGTTTTTCAGGGGCTAAATGCAACAGAGCTGCATCTTCCTCCCAATTATCCTGCACGTAAACCTTTCAGCTCAGAATGCCGGTCTTCCAGTTTCCTCCAGCACTGCAGCATGTCACACACAGTAGCTTAAGCACTCACCTTCTCTAATTATGCCTATGACTGAGCCACAACGATCTAGCTTTGCATTCCCCTGTGTGCGTCTTCTGTCAGCACTTTCACTCAAGCCTTCCATTGAAACAGGCTTTCTAAGGCTTCTTCAAATTCCCCGATTTTTAGGCTGACATGCTTGTGCCTTTCCAGCACTGATCTCAACCTTTCAAAGTACAAGAAAAGCATTTCTGTCAAAGCTCCAGAGTCCGGGATTTGCTACATTACTCTGCGCTGCTGCCCCTCCCCCCGAACCGCTCGCTCCACGGCTCCCATTCTACCAGAGCCAGTCATGTGCAACCTGGTGCAGAGAAGAGGAAGCAGAAAGCACTCCTCGCCTGAGACCGCTCTCCAAGGAAGTTATCTGGAGACATGTTGGAACAGGGAGTCATTTACTTTTCCTTTTTCCTCAAGGGGCTCCTGGGCATGTAGCTCACAGCTCCCTGCTGTACTCCTGGTAGAGCATGGAAGACGAAGCACTCAAAAAAGAGGCCTCCGCACTTTTAAAACAGGACCAGGTAAATTATTGACTAATCTCCCTTACTTCCCACACACAACCCTTCTACAGCAGTCAACACCCCAAGTATTTCTAAATTCTCTAGAGGGCACACACACACAGTCTTAAAGGTACCTTTACAGTCCTTGTAGAGGGTTTCTTCTTTGATGAATAAAATCATAGTCAGAGGACAAAAAAAAGTTTCACACTCAATGAATATGAACACCAAAAATAAACTTTGCCAAGACAAAGAAATGAATGAAACTAAATTTTAGAACGATTTCAACTGGTAAACTCCAGGGTCTGAAAACTCTATAATTATCAAAAAATAAAATATTCTATTCCACAGAATATATAATTGCTTTGGAAGCACTGTTTTCTTAGTCTTAAATTATTCTGCAAAACCCAGAAGGCTCCCACTCCTGTGGGGCTTTGACACTAGGTGTACAGTGTGTGTCCATCTTAATTGTTTTTTTAACAAAATTCATTCCATGTATCTGACATTTCCACTTTCAACACAAACAGAAGGGGAAAAATCTTATTTAAAAATCATAACTATCCTGCTGTGCTCCATTGTGCTTCTGAGTGGGGATGACAAAATGAGTTTATCGAAACGTCAGCGGCTATCACCATGTTTCAAAACCATGAATCTGCACTGAGGATTACAAGTTCTGCCAGTGTGGTTATAAAGTGGACAGAATGATTGGAGCTGGCACTGTGCTCAACTCCACTCTGACGGGTACCCAGATGGCTTCATTTCACAAAACACTGCCTGCAAGTCCTTACATGTTATTTGACCCAAACGACTGGTGACGCAGATGCATTTAAGCATGGTGCCATCCGCTAAAACTTCCAATCACACTGTAGCCCTTTTTTTTTAAAGAAGGCATATGACAAAATACCATATTCTAAAACGTGAGCATGAAAAATGGAGTCGATGGCCCTTTTGATACTGTTCACGATGATTTTTAAGGCATGTGGCTGTAAGTTGCCAGTATCTCAGAAAATAGGGCCATTAAAATCAACATAACACTGTGATTGTGATATTTTCTCCCAAGGAATTGTCTCAGCTCATTTTCTTCACTTTGACACTGAGAACAACCAAGATCCTCTGTAAAAGCAAACCAAAAGAAACCAGACAAAAGCAAAGACGTGCACTCGTATTGGATCTGAGGTTTGTAATCCACATAAAGAACCCCATGGTGAAGGACACAGTTTTGCACGGGCACCAAAAGTCAGAAAACACTTGAAAGATGCTTATTTGGTGGAGGAAGTGTTATAGATTCTAAAAATGTAGTTCTGTCACTGGTCAATGTTACACTATATTTGTAGCAAACAAGCAGCAAATGGGAAATATAGTCACTGGACATTTTCAAGAGATATCCATAAAGAGATTCAAGATGGGAGCTGTGTCAGCATCAAAGTTGCAAAAGGAACATGTAGAGGTTAATTCCATGATAACAAGGAGACAAAGATAAAAACAGGATCCTTCATCAGGTGCAACTTATCCAATTTCAAGACACCTGAAGAAGGCTCATTATCATTTTGGTCTCCTTGATTTCTTCTTTCTACCTTTAATGCAGAATTAACTTCTATCTACTTGTTCCTTGATTTCCAGAATCACAAGTAGGCTTTCTTAATTAAAAACACTGCATAGTAGTTTTAAGACAGCACAAAAAATAGGCCAGATTCAAACTGTAATACTATCCATTGTGGCTGACTTGAAACCCTATACATCAAAATTCAAATCAAAATTTGTGAGCCATAAATAAGCACAGGGATCACAGACAGCAATGTAAAAAGCAGTAAAAAGGCTCTGTGGCATTAAGGCTTTTAAACATGGTGACACCACCCCATGGGACCTCTGTAGTGCCGAATTCTCCTATGGCAAGAAACGGGTCTTTTGGTGCTGTAGAATTCCTCATTGCCTAGGGAGCAGTGCTGCAAGGCTCTGACCTCTGAAGCTGGAGTTGATCAAGTGGTCGTAACTATAAAAGCCTTACAAAGACCTCCTTACTTGTTAAGTTGCCGGATGATGATGATTCACTGCTTTTGCAGGTGTCATATAGGATCGGCATTTTTTTCTTCTTCACATATGGTTTAAGCATGAATTTAACAATTTCAGTTGGAGGCCTTTTGTGATTAACCATACTCACATCTATCAGCTAAGAGTCAGCCCATGCACTCGCATCAAAAAATATCAAGAAACAGTCTTACAGCAAAAGCTATTTAAGCACAGTAAATATGCTAGGCACACAAACTATTCCACTCTGTCTATCCAGGACACTTCATGTTTCCGAAAATGACACACGGGTCATCAATCTAGAGAAAGTTATGTTATAGACTACCTAGGCAAAGCTAGCCAGAAGCAATGAAACAAAATGATCCATGTGGGAAGAAAAATTGAATAAATTAAATAGTTTACTACTTTTTCAGAAGTTAAAATAAGAATGAAGCGATAGTGCCGGTAGCAGTCAAGCAGTTGGTGGAAACTGTCAGTAACAGTAACTATTGTGTTAAGCCTGCAGCCATAGAAGACAGACCCCTAGAGTCACTGCTTCTACTGATGATACTTCACGTGAAACTCTCCCTACAGAGGAGCGAGTGGATATCAGTGATTGAACTGAGGTGCACATAAGGCCTTGTTCCCTATTGATGAGGGCTATACTGCTAAAGCCACACATTCCCCCAGATCTCCTCCACCACAGTCTCAGATATTCCCAGAGGACCAACAACTTGGATCTAGATAAAATACAGGCACAGTAATTGACAATATTGGTAGTCTGTCTTGCTGTACGTCATTTGGCCAAATGCAAACAACCCTTGCATGGACATGTCGTTCACTGAAGTTGAATAACTGCACAGAATGCAAACTTCAGTTCCTCTGTGTTTCTCGAAGCCTAACAGGATACATTACCATGCCCACTGGTAAAACACAAAGCTGAGAAACTCAGTAATGTAAGGTACAGAAACACTGAAAGTTGTTTTTTGTAATTGAGAACTGCCAATTATTTCTACTATATTTTTCATGCCCACTTGATTCATTTTTTTTCACAGCACAGCTCACACCTACAAACTCTGCAAACCTGCAGGTTACAAAATGAGCAAGTGTTTGACAGACTCCAACAACCCATCCACTTCAGAGACCCTTTAACATGATTTAACATGTTACAGACAGCACAGTCCTTACCAGATGATGTAGACAGAAGGCCACAGGAGTCGCACTGTCACTGAGAACTGAGAGAGCCCTGGTTGACTATTCCCACCCCAAACTCATCCAATCATACACCACTGCTTGGGGACTTCCAGTCACGGTCAGCTAGTGACATCATCCAAACTCGAAACCATGACCATCAAAATTTACTAGTGAAGCCACATGGGACATACCAAATATTTTTATGCAACCTTCAAAAAAGATCCTGAAATGGATAAAGGCGAAATAAAAAAACACATTTTGATCTATATTAGTTATATTATGTTAAGGAAATTTAGTTTGAATATCCGAATGCAGAAATTAATATTATTATTATTAAAATAATATTAATATCAGTCCAGCAACATTTTAGAATTTGTAAATTCAGTGATGAAAAACCATACAAGGATGTGTTCAATACAAAATACAAAAAGTAGATGTTTTATGCAAAAGTGGTTTGATAGGAAAAATCAATCCCAAGAAAACCCATTTTGATGTCAACGAAGTATAATGAAAGATATTTGTTTCTTCCCAACTAACACCAGACCAGGCCTTACATATGATCTTACAAAGCCTGCTTTATGCACCTGTGCACCATAAAACAGGCAACGGCATCGCAATGCAGTTCAAAGTGCTTACTTTTACAGGGCTTTATAACCAGCAGAGTGGTGGTTGTTTCCCATCCTGTGGCTAAAATTCTTGTCCATCTGTTCCTCCTGCATCTGCTAGCACTGCAGATGGCAATAACGATGATGATAATGTCCTCAACCATCAGTCTTTTTAAGATCTTATAGTACACATTCCAAATTAACAGATTTCTATGTGTTCTA